GTCCCGCATGGGCAGCATTCTCGGTCCCACATTGTTTCTCCTCTACGTGAACGATTGTGAGGACCATCTCCCTGTGGGCTCCGAACTACTAACTACTTTACTTGCCACCTATGCGGATGACACGACCCTCTACCAGTGCCTGTCTGCCACATCCAACATCACTGACTCCACAGTGCAGCTCCAAGCCGCCATGGACAGCGTCGCTGAGTGGGGCGCAGACTCGAGAGTGACATTTGAGCCATCCAAGTCTCAGGCGATGACCATTGACCACCGTAAGCCACCCCCAGCCATGCCACCAGTACTGTTTGCAGGAGCTGCCATCCCGGAGGAGCGGGAGATTTAGCTGCTCGGTGTCACCTTTGACACCCAGCTGTCTTTCTCAACTCACCTCCACTCCATTGCAACCAAAGTTGCTCAGCGGCTCCACTTCCTTGCCAAGGTTGCCCCCCTCCTAGACGCCAGAGGTCACACAGCTGTGTACAAGGGGTTTGTCCGCCTTTTGATGGAGTACTGCTCCTTGGTGTGGATGGGCTCCAGTACCTCCCGCCTGGACAAGATGCAGCACAGGGCGCTAAAGATTATCGGCCCGGGAGTTTAGCTTCCCAGCCTGGAGCACCGCAGAATGGTTGCATCACTGTCGCTCCTCTTCAATCTAGCGTATCTTCCCCCGACGAATCCCCTTAAGGCCATTCTACCAGCCCCAGCCGACCCACCCCCTCCGTGCAGACCATCGACCAGGCTGGCTACTAAGATCGCTCAGCAACACCAGAACCAGCTAAAATCCACACTCCCGGCACGCACCCGAAGCAGCCTCCGCAATGGGTTCCCCGATTGCGCCATTCCAACGTGGAACAGCCTGCCCGGACATGTCTTGCGATCTGCACCGCACCCACAACAGCTGCAGTCCTTCAAGGAAAGATGCCATAAGTACCTGCTGCACCTTGAGAGAGCAACTGACGCTCTTTGACTTCCTTAGCTTAAGTTCTGATTGACCCCAATTTCCCTATCCAACATACATGTATCCTTTATCTTCATCCTTCAGCAGTGGATATGTGGGCGCTGCACTTCCGTATACATGTCTTGCTCTCGTCTTGTTTTCTTTTCTCTCTCTCTCTCTCTTATGTCTCCTATGTCTTTCTCTATTTTTCTTGGCGCGCTGCGTCTGTGCAGATGCCGAGACCACCAAGGTCGGCTGGGCAGCAGGGCCCCGCCACCACTTTCCGCATTCATTCGGGAGCATAGTAGACTTTGTAAAAAAAAAAACAGTAAAAAAAAGCAGCCACTCATACACAAGGTGCTGCTGGTCCGAGCGGTGTTGATGCAGAGAATTGGAGACATTATAATTATGTGCTCCAATATCTCGACCGCTTCAGACGCACTGTGTGACGCTTTGGCGTCTTGTGCTCGAGTCGAAGGCTGGCTACGCGGCCTACGTGAACCCAGATCCATTGGCTGCATTTACAACTTGTTGGTTAATAGCACTGCACTTGATACGCGCCCTGGCGTTAGGCCCATATGATTAGGCGAAGTGTCTCGCAGAATAATAGGCAAAGCAAATCTCCAGGTTTCTGGTCCTGAGGTTCGCGAAGCCCTGGGTTATGACAACATGAATATGATTCTTCCACCTGCATCTCTCGCCGTTCATTGCGTAATATATTTGGCTACCAGCCCACCGCAGATGTTCAGTGTATTATGTCTCGAAGCAACCTCACACCCATCACTATCCATTTCTCTCCCCCTAAGGTCGCCTTTTCTGCCTTCGTGCCAATTCTGAGGCACGTAGCCGGCTAGCCGCACCTGCACAAGGTCTCAAGTCTCGCTTGGACTTGTACTGCCACGAGCCTCCTCTCGATTTGGTTACATGATTGTATTCTTCTCTTTCTTTTTTAGCCGCTGACCGCTGGAACTCAGTTCCGGCATCGGTCCGCCTTGCTGCTTCGCTAAGTCAATTTCGTATCGCAATCCTAGACTGGCTAGGGTTCCCCGTAAGGAGACCATAGCCTATGTCTGTGGGGACTGCCCTAGAGAAATATGTATAAATACTATACTACACTACTACTCCGAGTCCTATCTGTATTGCAGTTTTTTCTGAAGCAGCCTGCTATCGTCCGCTGTCTTCTAGAGAACGGTGCCTCAACCTCTCATACATAGTATGTATGACGGCAGAGTTGGCTCAATAGATTATTCTCACGGAGGTTGGGCTGGAGATCCTGCTGTAAGTGAGGCACTGTGCGGGAGCCCAACGTATCCACCGCTGGTCTGCCGTGTGGTCAGGGTGATGGAACTCCGATTTGATGAAAGTGCGGAACGCATGATGCGCTATTTATGATGGCTAGCTGGCATCGTGTACTTTCATCTAGCTTGCGTTCTCATGTCAATACCAAGCAGCACTTCCATATTGGACACGCCTTGCTATTGTACTGCAGAAAGAATTTGCAGGAGACTTTGCTGTGCTACAGTGCTGGCAGACCTATTCCGGATGAGTCCAATGAATCCAAGACCAATCATCTTGAAGCCATCGTACGACACTTTTTGCAAGTGGGCACGAATCCAGTTGGACTCCCAGTTTCTGAAGCTGATGCACTCTACAAGAAGTGGTTGGCACTGAAAGCTAGTAATGGATTTTCACGAATTGAACTTTTCATGTTCCATGGAGGAAGGCTAAGGCATACTCCTGTCGTAGATGCTGAAGGGACTCATTGGACTGTGCTACTACTAGTACTAGTGAGTCTTGGCAATGTGCGGGTGGTAAGGTGGGTGATTGTAAAGAGTTCTCTGTTGTTCTTCAGCACTAGTATCAGTATTCAGCCGTATGTACGCGTACCTCTTTAAACGGTACATGACATTGTATGTATTCTGGACTAATTGTACATGTATGGAGAAAGTTCAACAGGAGCACTAAAACCACTTCTAAAGATCTTGGAATGCATACCCGAATTCTGAACCTCAGACAACGATAGCTGTTACTGAAACATCATGGCTTAGCAGAGTGTATACTGTATCGTGACTGTGATCGTGCTATGGTCATGGACTCTTGCTTGTATAGCTAGTCTATCGATAATATCCTATACAAAATGTAGATCTAGGCTACTGGGCCATGGACGAGGGGGGGGGGGGGGGGGGAGCAGGGCAGTAGCGATGGGCGATGTTTAACTGTAACGTGTCTTTGGTTCTGCTTACTTGAATGTGAAGTGTATGTGAAGTCCAAGCACTGAAACAAAATGTACAGACACGTAGTCGCAGCTTCCTGCATGGTCATACGATTACTACGACCCTCTTATTACGTGTGGACTTGTATTGACTGCACGTAACTGTAACATTTAGTTTGCGACTGAGGCCAGAAGCCGGGGTGGGCGCATTCAGCTTCACTGGGTGTTGGATCAACCGGCCGGTTCCTTCCACTCACTTCCTAAACACGCCGAATGGAAGTGTACTTGGCCAGGATCTGAAAGGTAGGTGAAGCCTGGACTTGGCGATGGGGTCCATACTCGGATGTAAAGTGGTGATCGGTGGCTGAGTGGGAGAGCAAGACAAAGCGGGAATGTCTGGACGCACTGCTCATGGTCTAGATAGGGCTTGAAAGTGATGACGTCAAAACGGCCAGGGAGTAGTAATTTGCCATCAGATTTCTATTTTTGGATCCACTAAGGTGTGACTTTGCTATTGCCTAAGTATGTGGGTGCATAGCAACCTACTCATGTCGCATGCAGGTGTGACTTTTATTTCGCCACCAGTTGTAACCCCGCCCCCAGTAGCCAAATCAGTCAGTTTCACTTGCTACATCACCATGCTGTGGGTAAGACCGCTTGAAATGTGCTTGGATCCATACAAAAACTGGATCCAAGTGGATCCAGTTTTTGAATTTTTGAAATTGTTGCTATGCTGTGACGTAGCACTTTCAAGCCCTATTGATACACAGTACAGACAGTGACCTTCAACACTCAACGGTGACGACTGCGACTCCGATTGACCTGGTTAAATAAAAAGGAAACTCAGTTTTTGCCGTTTTTAGCATCTTCTGGCTCGACCCTTGAGGCTTGAGTCGGCAGATACAAGTGCACAACTTTGTTACAAGGCTCTAGGGGGTGTGGAGACTGGAATAAGTAGGTTCATCAGTGCAATACTACTGCTATAATTATCAGGGTAAGAACATAAATTCGACATAAACGCCATCAGGCTTAGAGGCTACGGTGACAAAACAGATTCACGACTTCAGCAAAGGAGGTGCATGAGACTGAAGTCTTGATTGGCTTGATGGCTGATGAAGGTCGAGACTACAATTTTAGGCATTGGCGGATAATGCTCGAAAAGGTGGCAGATTCTGCTCGAAAAGCAGTGAAATTGGCAGAACCATACAAACCTTATGGCGGGCAATTCCTCGAATTCTGCTCCATTTCTTTATCCACATACCAAACAAGCATGAAACTTACCAGAAAAAGTACCGAATTCTGCCAATTTATCTGCCGGCATTATCCGCATATGCCTAGGACTCGAGAGGGCCTTCTAGAAGTAGAAGTAGAAAGTAAAAGGCTGGAACTAACTTTAGAAGTACAACTTGAAGCCTTGATGTCGATCTACGCACCAAACGTCTAAACCCACAGCTACAATGTACATGCTGCGGACGTGACGCTGACTGGTCACCACTGCGGCGGCGGCACTGGGCCCATGCCATGCGCCAGGCTGGGGTCTAGTCTGGCACTGCACTGTAGATCTACTGCCATGCCTACTGCCACCTGGGAGTGGGATCGATCATCTGATCATGACAATTGACATGATTTGTATGGCTCAGCGCTCAGCCTGGCCATAGACTAGTCTAGACCGCGCAGGTTCATCCACCATACATATCCCATGTCCACTGCCGGGCACTGGTATGGCACTACATCAGTCCAGCATGCACCACACGTCACCAGGTCTTGCAGTCATACGTCAGTCCACGCTACGACGGGTCGATGGCTGACGACCAGATCGCACTCACTGAACACAGAACAGAATCTGATCGGTGATCCATACTGTTAGTCTTACTTGACCAAAGCGAAACTGCTCCTGCTGCTTTTGTGAAAATACAGAGCCGGCCTCTCGCTGTGGTAGTTTGAACGAGTTAGCGATCTGTAGCAGTGTTGGACACCCCGGCGAGTCAGCAGCTCTTCCTGAATTGCCTTGTTCAGCAGCAGATCTACTGTTGTAGCGGGCATTGTTTTTGAGCCTCGATGGATTCGATACGGAGGTGAGTGCTCGTTAGCAGATTTCTCTAATTAACTTCGAGTAATGTTCTCGTTATCGGGCGAAGATTCTGGAGCTCCGCTAAGTGATTAGAGCGATACAATTCGCGCAAGATGGAGTCACTCCATCTCGCGCGGGCCACGGGGCAAAGTAGCTGCCTGGTGTAGACAACGATGCAACATGTGGCTAAAAAACTAACTTCTACTACAAACACTCTGAAGCAGTTGGTTGCTGTCATCTGGCTGCTTAGCATTCTGGAGAGCGAAATGTATCGTGAATCAGGTTGTAATCGTGCTGTGATAGCATCACGATGCATGATCCAGAAAGTAAACTTCCTCAGCCTGCCTGCGTTGTAGACTGTGTAGGATACTGGTAATACATAGAGAATGATGCTCGTGAAAGGTGCTGCATAAACACATTGTATTTTGTGTGTGGAGGAGTAGTTCTTGCTTATACATGAGCACACTGTGCAGTGTGTTGTACAACCAAACAAAGTGAGAAAGAGAGGGGGGGGGGGGGGGGGTGCAAGCCTCCCTGCACTTCACTCACTCGCCGCTTTACTGATGGTGCTGCCTCTAATACTAATAATACTAATAGGGGATTCACACTCACGAGAAAACCTGAGGTCACGGGACAAGGTAAAAGGCCAGACCGTCGGGCAGCCGAGTGTGGCCGTCCAGTGGTCAGTTTTCCCTTGGCCGCCGCATATTTGGACATGAATTTGTAGCGGGAAAGTAAAAAAATCTAATCTTTTCTGCATTTTGTAGTACATCATACTTCATGTTCAGTTTACTATGAAATGAAGCTACTCTGACGCTCCTCTCCCAGTACAGTACGAAAACTCTGCTGATTGCCATGCGCAGTTGGCCGCACGGGCACTGTCGGGTAATGCAGTCTGTGATGCACTCGTATAACTTGGGCTCAGAGTTCTCGCCAAAGACAAGATCTACACACGTGCGCCGTATATCCGCGGGGTTTTTTCTCTTGACAAGCGCTCTGAGCCCCACGGCCACGACTTCGCACCAAATATTTCCCGAGAGATTATTCCTCCCCCCCCCCCCCTTACCATCGCTTCCATGATGACTTTCCCAAAACCGTTGTTTTATCCGTGTGTGTGTGTGTGTGTGTGTGTGTGTGCGTGTGTATGTGTGAACCCCCTGTAACCACTGTCATCCTTGGCTTACTACATTTACTGAGTGCGAGGACAGTACAGTTGTTGTTTGTTTGTTTTTTAAGTGAAGTTCGCACTTCCGCGTTACTACTGGCTTGCAATTGTGTTGAGAAACACAACCATTGGTGAATGTTTGTTTGGCTCCGACGGTCCAAATGCTCATTGGCTACTTTATCAGAAACGTTCTTGTTGACAAGCACCAGGCAGCATGCTCGCATTGGATGCTCCTGTGTTTGGTTTTTTTGTGAGAAAGAGAACACACAACCATTGAGTGAAACCTGTGTACAACTATGAGATAGACTATCGGAATATCGTTTACGCCGTTTCCAATTTCAGGAGTTCTTACCGCCTCAAGGCGCTGAGCACAGGCCATAAGGAACTTCAACTGGTAATCTCGGAACAGAAGTCCGCACGAGTGGAGTACAAGAATGCCATCAAAGTCAACAAATCAGGTAAGCTTCAGTACATGTACTTCGGTAATGTAGCAATGAAGTGCTAAGTTGTTGCTAACTGCAGAATAGAAGTCTTTAAGGCTAACACTCAATCATTTAGCGCTTTCAAGCTTTTGGAGTAAATACATACTTTTAAAAGTCACAGGAATAAAAAGTTGCTTTTTCCGTTGCCATCATGCCGGTATTCGAAAAAAATCACGTTTTGCGTGAGACCGAGCTCACTGCATCAATAGAAACTCCGCCACCCTCAAGGATCAAGGCGCAAATGCATCTCCTAAAGCGGTGGGAGGTGAGTAGATCGGACCCACCACCAAGTGGTCAAAGGCCGGAAATCTAATTCGCTGCATCCATGTTTCCCTCGTGCCAGCCGGGCCACGAGCTCCCAATGAACTGTGGGTCGCAGCACGGCTGCGAAACGTCATTCCGCTTCCAGGCAGGACTTGAACCTGGTCACCCTCGGTTTCTCAATCATGGTCCCATACCATACTACAGTCACTCTGCTCAGTGAAAGCCAGTCGTGTCACTCCGGTTTGCGCCTTGTATCCCTTCGCAGCCCAGTGTTTGCTGGTCTAGGGCTGTGCAACGCCCGGCGCGTATATGAGTGATGCTGTGACTGGATATCATTGAGCAGTGCTGTACTGTTCCTGGCTGCCTGCACTGGTCGAAAGCCATCAAGCGAGTGGTTGATCTGGACACACTGATGTGGTCACCATTTGATACTTGCACTACTATCCTGATCTGACTGTATTCCTATGTGCCGTATGTCCACTGTGTTCAGCAACCGATCAGCTATTGAAATGGTCGCAGACAGAAGAAAGCGAAGCGCTACAGGTGAGAACGTTGAGCACTGCCAGAACTTCCCATGTCTGCATAGTCACTATAAGTTACAGTGCAACATCATGTGCCTTAATTATTCCAGGTGTAGCTACTCAGGAGACTGTTGTGTGTCCATGTTGCTGGTGGGCTGTCAAGCTTTGTTCTTGCTCCGTACGACAATACCTCATTCTTCATTCCTTGCACAAGAACAGGCTCTGATGTATGCCGCCTTGTGCCTGTTGCCTGTTCCTCTCCCATCCAGGTTTCCATTCAGGCGTTGGCTGAGCTGAACCTAGCATGGTGTGACGTGCAGCGAGATCTAGCTGGTGAGGATGAGCAGGAGATTCCGGCTCTGGCAGACACAAACACACTCACACACTCCCTCTCTGTGTGTGTGTCTCTCACTCACACACGCACACACGCACACACACACACACACACACACACACACACGCACACACACACACACACACTGTTATTGTTTGTTTGTAATGCATGATCACTTCTCAGTTCTCACTGGTCACTATGCTGTACTGAGCTTTGGTATACTTTTGACCATTCCTATCAAAGCCCTTAGAAAAAGGACTGTTACGTCCTCAGTGACAAGTACTAAAATTCAGATTTTGCTGCAGACGTACTTGTAATGATGAATCGCGTAACACCTTTCCCATTCCGTCCCAAGCTTGACTACAGCACTGTCGGCCGCCGAAGAACTGGGGGGGGGGGGGGGGTTCTAGCCTAGCCCGTTCTCATTTTCAGCGAACACGGCATGTTCGTTCTTATTCCGTGTACAGTCTTACAAGTACATCTGTGCAGAGTAATATGTCTGAGTGTACATTACGGTTTCCGTTCTTATCCGCGAAAATCCAGCCTGCACCATTTTTAAAACATGGTGAAATTCTAGCCTGGCCGTTCTTCGGCATCCGACACAGTACCGTGCATGACTATGCATCAAACGCTGGCAGTACCTATTAAGATGGTAAAAATAGTGGATTTCACTCGAGGTCTCTTGTGAATGGCTATCCCTGCGCTAGATCCGATTTCCGATCATAGTATGATGGTTATTCTTCTCCCCTTTTGTAGTTACTTTTATGCTTACTTGTTTGGTGCAGTTTGTATGTTCTCGTTCTGTTTCCATCTGTATGCCAATACGCCTTCTCTTGGTTCTTCTGTCTCCTGTAGATCAACTCAAGGTTGCCAACACCACATTTGAACGTATCCTGGAAGAGGAGAAGGAGCTGGACAAGGCCAGGAAAGCTCTTGTAAGTAAAGTTGTTGAATCGGGAAAGTAGGGCCAGGAACAAGGAACCGCACTACAAGTGTATTCCAGCTTCCTTCCATAAAGATGCAGCTCTGAGTAATTTGGTTATACTTGATACCATTGGAGTGTAATTAAGCTCCCAAGAGTGTGCAACTCTACATATGGCCTCTCCGACATGGCGAAAACTCGCATCACGTGTCTCAGGTATGCTTCATACTACGTAGAAATGAAGGATAGCGTGCGCGCAATCCGAATATCTGCCATGATCGTGCTGGCAAGTTGCATACGCGTAGTGAGTTTCTGTCAGAGAGTCCTTTTTTTATTACTCCGCTGCTCGCTAAAAACGGGCTGGAAGCGTACACCTGGGACACTACACCATGTGATGTGAGTTTTCGCCGTCGGCAAACCCCATAAAAAGGGTATCAGGAGTTGCACACTCTTGGGAGCTTATTATTCTCTTGTTGATACTCACATGCAATCTTGATTGCTTCCTCTACGAATAACAGTTAGTACCTTCTGAATTCCTGTGTGATGTCCGTATCTATGTGGCTTGCTCTGCATTTCCAGGAAAAGAGCCAGCAAAAGGAGAAAACCATGCAGAAGGAAGTTGACCGTATCCACAAGGTAAGTGAATGGGGATACTACTAGGAAGAAATCACTGCTCACTTCATCTTGCGATGTGTCAAAATATGTGTATGGCTGGTTCCATGAACTATACGATGACAAGGGACTTGATAGATGTGAAATCGCTTCAATGATGTTTGTGCAGAAAGGAGAAGACCCGGGGTTTGCCGAGAGGAAGCTAGAACAAGCGATGCGCTCTAAGGAGATTGCCGAGTCTGAAGGTATGTCGTCTTGCGGGTTACGTCTGTCTGTATGTGCGTGCGGTGTGTGTGTGTGTGTGTGTGTGTGTGTGTGTGTGTGTGTGTGTGTGTGTGTGCACATATGTGTCCATGTACATGTACATGTGTGTGTGTGTGGGGGGGGGGGGGAGGAGGATATGGTTGCTATAGCGGCACTGTATGCAATTGCTTGATTTATGACCGACAGTATTACCGTATCTGGATAAAAAATGTTTTGATGACCGGTGTGATTATTATCTAGTCCAATTTTGACCTGCTCTCTCTCTCTCTCTCCCTCCCTCTCCCTCTCTCTCTATTGCAGTGCAAGGACGCTATCAGGAAACTGAGGCCAACAAGCAGAACATGGTGCGTGAGGGGCTCGTTTGTGTCGCTCAGGCACATCTCTCCATGGCCAGGAAGTGCTCAACTCTTTTCGAGGCATACGAGGTGAGTGTACCGGTCAACTGTGGGTGAAGCGTATTTGCTATCATTTTGTTTTGCTCCGTGTGGCACACGCAGCAGTTCGAAGACCGTCCAAACAAGTGGGATGTACAAGTATGCGACTTCCAGGATGCAGGCCCGCCAGACCAGTCCAGTTGGTCAGATCATAACCAGACCAACTTGTTGGCCATGAATGTGTGTTTACTGCTGAGAGGAGTGTATGTGAACCCAACTTATCATGCACAAAGTATGAAATTCTATGGTATGACCGGACCTAGCAAAACTGCTTCCGGTGGGCCTGGTATGTACAGAGGAACTGTCGAACTCTTTCCTATCATGGTTTTACATTGTTGAAATGCTGTACTGTTTTTGTTTTGAACAGGCGGCGAGGTGACAACAATTTTATGATGGCAATGAACAGAATCAGCTGAAGCGACATGTTACGAAGGTTTTATTGAACCGTAAAATGGTGATGTTTTTGTTTTGGTTGTTTTTATCCCTCCAGAGCATCTGCCAAACTATACCGACACGCAGTGAACGTGATTCAGAGCCTCCACCATTCACAGGTATGTGTACGTCACAAGTATTCACAGATAATCTACCCGACTTAGAGCACAGTAAAGCCTAAAGGTGACAGTCGAGTACCATCTGCTGTGCACATTGCCCTGTTGATCGCCTCCCCATTGGATGCTGGATGCCTTCCTTCTACATGTACATTCAATCTATATTGTAGTTGTGTACAGTCAGACCTCGCTTGACCGCACACATCTGTTTCCCACAAAAATATCCGGATAGGCGAGGGAACCGGATAATCGAACACACATACTGCATGTATGCATGATATATGCTGTAAATCGGTAACCAACGATTTTCTTCCGGATGGTGAGGGATCCGGATAAAAGAGGACCGGATAAGCGAGGTCTGACTGTACTAGTATTTGCAGTGCCTATGATCACTGCTGCAGTGTAGTGTGTGGCCACGTTGTCCGTGATCAAAGTGCTGACGACGCATGCTATGTTCTCCTAGTTTGATGGGCTTTCCCATGGCTTTGGTCAGATGTACTTCGAGTACGTGTGTGCATGGCTCTCTGTTTTAACCCTCTACTGGACAAATGATGCAGCCACCCCACGGAATGCGAATTGGGTTAGCAACTTGAGCCCTGCGGGATAGGCTGGTGGCACACGTGCACATTTAGTGGTGATATTCACGCGAGGAGCAGACCTTTCCAAGCAGTTCCGAACGGCCCTGCTTCCTCTTCTTACCAGCAGACATCGGTGCTCTTTGTACACTGCAGCGAAAACGCGCAGTCTAATTCTATATCGGCCGTCTGCCTGCTTCTTTCCCATGTCGTGCAGATTCATCCAAGGTGGCCAGTGTCTGTCAGAGTGCTATTCGCATGGCTGACCGTGCCCAGGTGGTGCGATCTGCATCGTATGCCATTGGTGAGGATTTGACAGGTACAGACAAGAGACGTAAGCAGCACGATTCACTACAAGATGTGAAAAAACAGTGCCAGAGCAGAAACTTTAGATGTCTGCCGCACCGAAATCAGACACGAAAGGTGCCGGGATACTAGTTATGTTCAAACATTGGAAACAATGCCGAAGTAGAGAGATATGCAATACCCGCTCAGTTTGACATGATAGAACGTTCCTAGCCAGCCACTCAGCAAGCACACTCACGTATCTCTCAGAATAATAGTAGAAAAGGCACAACTAGCAGGGAAGTAGCCCACAGCTGCTCAACCGATCAACTGTCAGCTGGATTGCCGGGTCTAACATCGGTTGGTTTTGGAATCAAGATTCTTCCAGGGTAGAGAACTGCTTGTCGTACTAACTTGTATTTGGAAATTTAAAAAGAACGATCACGGTTCGCGTTAGACTCAGCTGGACGCCAAGTTTTGCGCATCCGCAGGACGCCACCACCCTCTGTGAATCAATGTGCAGATGCAGCTCCTAAAGCATGATAATGAGATTAGTTTGGGTTGAAAACTATGCTGCCCAGAGTCCTTGCTTCTGTTCATGTGAGATGAACGGGTAAGCATTGTACCGCGGGGCAGGGAAAGGAAGACCTGCTGCGGCATGCTCTGCGGCCTGGTGATGATTGCGAAGGCATGCAACTCTGAGTGTCAGCGGTGCTTCCTCTTCCCTTTCAGCTGTATGAGCAAGCTGTACCTGCACATGTCGGCACTGAAGACTCTTTGCGTAGGGGACACCTTCCTTGATTGCGATTCATCACCATCATCTGCATTGCCGAAAAAACACACTTGTAATCAGACCAAAAAGTTACAAAAAAAGAGAAAATTAATAAGGAGAAACACTCAAAACAGCATTATCATTGTATTGCATGCCACGTACTAAGTTTTTTTGTGTTTTTCTGTGTCCAGGCTCTCTTCCACCAGACGAACCTCTTCCGCCCCCACCTGGTAGCTACATGCCACCGTCTTACGAGGAAGTCGATGGTTTCACGCGCTCTGCACCGGGATCTCTTCGCATCGGCGAATCAAGACCACGCGGCAGGAGTTCTGTGGAAGATGACGGCTGGGCAAGTGATGAATTTGACGACTAAAAGTGGACAACATCTGCTGGTTCTTCTGGAGCCATCCCCGACAGGTTCTTTCTCATTCTAGGGCAACGTGGTGGCCTATTTAAAGGTTAATGCTGCATTGTGTGTCGCGCCGGCGTTGTGTGCGGTGGGGTCTATGTCTTGTGTCTGGTTCAGTGTGGCGATGACATTCATCTGCCGTGTCCATGTCACCAGATTCGAGATTATTCTTCCACTGGCAGCACGGGCCTGTTGTATATATAGGTGGTTCCCTGATGACTGGTGGTAGTGGCTCTAATCCGCTGTTCCAGCTTTTGTAACTATGATCGGAATCGAATTGTTGATTTGTTTTATACGATAGAGCGGCTCTCATTGACCGCTGATCTTGAGATTTCAAAGCCGGATTTTGGAGCTTTTTACACATACATGTAGTGCATGGTAATCCTCTGATTTGCAGATATGTTCTGGTCTGGACAAGTACACGGTGATTGTTGCTGGCAACACATACCGACAGCTGTTGTATTTGAAAAAGCACATCCTCCATATTGATATCTGTCTATTCTGAATTTTTCGCCGACACATCCGTCCACGTATTTGGATTCGCCGGGAGCGAATACGTTCTTCTATTCTGAATTTTCTTTTTGATACATGTCCTCTTTCATCCAACGCTCTGAGCAGCTGGTCTGTTCAAGTCTCGCGTATGCCACAGCGCCGGTTTCTGTCAGTCAAGTTAGGGCGCTCGCCCAGATTCCAGACGAGCATGACTATAAGTACAAGTACAGCAAACGGTCAGCTGATCGGTCTCATTCTCTCTGCACCTCAACTACAGTCCTCTTGCGTGTTCCCGCCACATATGTTATTTGTTTGCATTATGATAATGAATTATTGGTTTGAATGTCATACTGCCTGTGTCGTTACTTTGATACAATGTAAACCTCAGTGACTTTCCCTGCACGGCCGGTCCTGGTGGTGCAGTGTACTTGGATGATGATGTTCAATACTCGTACTGTATAATATCGTTATGCCACTCCAAGATCAGTGTTGCACTGCCGTGGTCCCGGGCTTGGTTGTCATGGTTCAACCGCGCTGCCTGCTGTGTGAGTACATATCATCCATATGTTCCAAACTGTCGCATGCTGGTAGCGCAAACTGATGCGCCGGCTCTGGATCTACCATAGGCATGTGCAAACACTGGCCGCTGCTTTTGTAATTGCGGACCTGCCGTGAGTCGGTAATGAGTGTCTGGTGTCTCACCTCTCAAGATACTGAATCATGTCCGTAACTGCATCCACTGATCTGCAGAACTCACCTTGACTGGAAAGTGTCACTGTGGCGCGGAACGAATGTGCATGTTGATCATGTGACTGCAGGGTGTACTGATCAAGAGTACATCATTATGTACTCTTGGTGAAATTCATATCTTGAAGGCTTCTAATATGATAAACTAGGCCAGAGATACAAGAATTGATATTGTCACATGATTGTGGTCAGTGTATCGTGACTATCGTCCCCCCCAGCATTATCACATACACATCGCGTCACATGGCATTGACACACGTGTGCATGCAGTGCACTATTTAAAAAAATGACAACACAACTTTTTTACACAAGTCATAAACTAACTTTATGTGTTGTCATTTTTAAAAATAATAGTGTAAGTAAAGTACAATTATGTACTTGTTTATGCAATACTTTATGTCAGTGACCACGTGGTGACGACGTGCTACCATTTACCAAGGCATGCATATGTTTAAAACAGTGTAAGTAAAATACAATTGTGTACTTGTTTATGGCAATAAATAAGATAAATTGTGCACTCATAACAACAGCAAAAATGAAGAAAGTCAAGTTCCATAACGTTTTCTTGTGACTGTCATCAGTGGAACGCCGTCACATAAAAATGTAATAACTAAAACACACACTTATATACATGTAGCTAATATGGTTTAAGGTAGAAATACAGCAGCTAACAAGTACAAAAAGCGAAGTTTTCACCTTTGCAATGTGTGAATATAGTGTATGTAAGAAAGGTAGTGGCAGATGAATGTGATACTGTGTGAATGAAGCACGGCTAGCACGGCTCACACGTGCCTAGCACGGCTCACAATTCGGAAACAGAAACACCAACTACTTCCATGGAGAACGAGCAGACTAATCTGGTTCCCCCCTCGGAAATCGGACCACGGCAAGGGAGGCCGCCGGACGGTCGCTCCTCGACAAACCATGTTGCTACAACGGTAAGAGCGGAAGGGGAACAACTTGAAAACAGAGCAGAACCGAGGAGAAGCAAGAGACTAGCAGAGGCACGACTGAGACAAGTGGAGAACACAAGGCAAGGAGACGCAGGAGGAAGCACAGGCATGGCACAGAACGAATCAAGGAGAGGGAAGCGGTGTCGCGAGGAGATGGAGACTGATGACGACGAATACGAGTGCGATGGGATGGACGGCGGCATTGGAATGGAGGTGGAGGATGAGAGTAGTGATGAGGAGGAGTTTGATGTTGACAAGAGGAAGTCTGCAGTGTACAAGCATTTGGTGTCCAGTCCAGAATGTCGTAAGGTGTTTGACGATTCCTGGTTAGGCCTTGGCGGATAATGCTCGAAAAGGTGGCAGATTCTGCTTTTTTTTGCACCGAAATTGGCAGAACCATACAAACCTTATGGCGGGCAATTCCTCGAATTCTGCTCCATTTCTTTATCCACATACCAAACATGCATGAAACTTACCAGAAAAAGTACCGAATTCTGCCAATTTTTCTGCCGGCATTATCCGCCAAGGCCTATTCCTGGTTTAGTGTTATTCGTTGCGCACGTTTCTTCAAGCAATTGCAGGTGTTGGAAGCTGTGTATATTCGTACTCGTGACCCTGTGCTATGTAAACAGACAGAAAACGTTGTATCACTCACACTCTTCAAATACACACGCACCATTACATTCATTCACACAGTATCACATTCATCTGCCACTACCTTTCTCACATACACTATATTCACACATTGCAAAGGTGCAAACTTCGCTTTTTGTACTTGTTAGCTGCTGTATTTCTACCTGAAACCATATTAGCTACATGTATATAAGTGTGTGTTTTAGTTATTACATTTTTATGTGACGGCGTTCCACTGATGACAGTCACAAGAAAACGTTATGGAACTAAACTTTCTTCATTTTGCTGTTGTTATGAGTGCACAATTTATCTTATTTATTGCCATTTTACGACTTTTTTTTTTTTTTTTTTTTTTTTTTTTTACTAAAAAACACAGCCCTACTAATAATCAGGGGAAGAGGACAACTGAAATGACGCTGGACAACAAGACAAAGACTATTGTCTCCTCGTCGATTGAAGCAGCAGAGAGACACCTACTGAGTCAAATGACTGCCACTGTCAGTTCTCAAACAAAAACAATTTTTGTCAAATTGAAAAATCTCACCTGTTAGTGTTGCTCACTAGCCACTAGTGACTCGAGTTGTTCGTCCACGAAATTTGCAATTATGCACTACGGTACCAGCAAGAGTAGGTAAGTTGGCATAGAACAACAGCTATGCACAGCCATGCTCATCTCCTCTTCTCTTTGGAAGGCAGTACAAGCACCCTTCATACCTCGACATTGCCCTGGAGTGGAAGCAAATTCACCATGAGTTTTCCAATTCGCTACAATCGATCTCGGGGTGATGATCGTGTCTTCTTCATCACCACTGCAGCCTGGACAGCCTTCGGGAAGACATGTGTCACTCTCCTGCTCTACAGATTCCTACATCTAGATTTGGTTACCGTCAGGGAACGAAATAGAGCTGCAAAACACCAAAGTAATTGTTTTCTTCCATTCAATTACACTGCTGAGCATGCACAGCATGGTGACAGCTAAGCAGTACGCACGTCATCAAGCCCAATTTCCAAATATGGAAGGTGTTATTTATGAAATTTGACACGGTTCCTCTTCTCTGATCGGCTCGAGACATAGCTCATCGGAATCAGTGCCCAATTCTCCTTCGGATAAGCCATACTTATTTTTGGCGTTCAGTACTTGTTTATGCAATACTTATGTCAGTGACCACGTGGTGACGACGTGCTACCATTTACCAAGGCATGCATATGTCATAATTATGTAGAAAATTAATAAAGAAAACGTTGAACGCGGTTACGTTGACATGTCCGAGTCATGATGTCATCACATTGTGTAAGAAATCAACTGCTGTGCATGCTCAGCTCAGTCACACATGCACAGACATCACAGTCAGGAAGTGATGTGCATGATTTTTTGAAAGAGCCGATCTGTTGAGTTGGATTATGAGACCGAGAACTGCATTGTTCATTTGCTTGTACCAATACTAGTCGGAGAAAGAAAAGAGTGTTCACCGCTTCACTCTTCTAGCTGTGCAGGACAAGTGTGTAAGATTTTCTGCTATAGTCATGGCGAGGCAACGTGGCTCCCCGTTGGCTCTCCTCATTCTCTCGTTCCTGGTCGCTTGTACCGTAGAAGGTAAGTCGCTCTTTGGGCAAATACCTGTCTGTATGTAAAAGCCGGAAAATGATCCCTAGAAGTAAAATTGCCCACTCACCCACCTCTAGTGTCTATCTGGTAGGTACAAAGAATCCCGAGCATGCATGGTCTTACCTAAGCCTTGCTTATAATTGTTCCGTGTCCTGATGTAGTTGTAATTGTAAGAGTGAAAGTTTTAGTGCTATTCAACATCATTCTACTTTCGCCCAGAGACCAGTGAGTATTTTATTATGTAGGCTGCTGACCGCTATTCTTCCAGGTTGACGTATTTCACGGTCACAAGCGGAGCTGAAAGCTCAAGCTCTCCTTCTTCAGACTACTGCTCGGTTGAATGGTATCCGAGTTTTCAAAATTTTCTGCTCCGTGTGGATTTCGGAATTTTAATTTCAAACTAAAAATAATACTGGACGAGAAAGCTCTTCATGGTGAATACTGCGAACAAAAGTGATGATTCAAATGGATTGCACTATCAATCAACTTATGGAGAATTGGAGATACATGTACACTTGTACTTAACAACACACTAAGTGGACCGCTTGAAAAGAAGTAAATTGCATCAGCTGGACTACTGTACTTGCTTGGAGCACGGATGTCAACGTTGTCATGAAATTATAAAAGACTAAAAATACGATAGGAATAAATGCTGTGGGGATGAATATGGCTAGGTGGTCCCAACTGCACAAAGGACGTAGCCTTGGCGTAATGATCTGTTGAATACTAGTACCAGTTCCACGATACACTATAATTATACCGTAATGACGTACATAAAAGTGCATGTGCCCTTTTCAGGGTATAAGCGCACTGCCACTCTCACCTGCGCATGGGCTTATAAGTGAACCTGGTCCCGCGACACTGACATCACCACACTACCATCTGTACAGGATTTAACCCTTTGGTGCCGGTAGATCGACTTCCACCTATGCTGCCAGTTTTTTTTTGGGAGGGGGGTGGGGGGTTGTCCAAAGCCTCTTTTACGGGCGAACGAAACACAATTTGCCATGGCGTAGGATTGGAACACAACTCACATAATGAGAACAATTTTTTATGATTTGAAACTCGGATGTATCTGATTTGAAACTCGGATGTATCTGGTTACAGTGATGGAGAGTGACTCTCAACTCGTATCTATAATTATTTCCTTTTCCGTTCTACAATTTTTTTATACCGGGTATTTATACCTATGCTGCCGGTGCATACCAAAAGAGAAGGTAGCGGGGGTGCATTTGAAAGACTCAAGTTTGGAACAATGCGATTGTGCACATGGCGCAAAGCTCATGCTCCGTCAGCCACCAAAGGGCCATACTGGTTGCAGGTAACACAATTACGAGCGCATGCGTCTCTCTGTGTGAGAGCAGTCGACATTCAAAATTTACAAATATCCGGAACGGAAGAAAACTCACGTAAGAGCGCATGGACTTCTGTGTTCGTGATTACGGTATGCGCTCTAAACAGTCCAGTGTTGTCTGGCTGTCCTCCTTGCCATCTGAGCTGATTTTGCCAGGCACACGGTACTGGTGTGATGATATTAGCTATGTGCAGCAGTTGACTCGAGCACATATTCAACCTTCAAGCTTGAATTGTACTGTTCGAGTATTTAAGAATTGGAGAGGTTCCGGAGTACGATTTTTCGTGTCAAAATCTGCAGAGGCGCTACATATTTTTTATACTTCGTTTTCGAGCAGTGAAATGTTCCGGAGTACGGAACTTATGTGTTTACCGTCATTGCCTAGGTTACGATCGCAAACACGTCGTATTCCCGCTCTATGCCTTTTTTATTTTGAAAATTTGTACCGAAATCAAAACTTCCCGCGGAAAATCGATGTTTCTCGTACCAAATTTGTACGCGAAAAATCTTTCGGCACTCGATGACGCAAAATCTCCATACGAAGTATGGTTCGTATGAAAGCCAGTCCACACGGATTCTCGTGCCGAATAATCGTATGAAGCACGCCTTGAAAAAATCCGTATCGCCCATGCGGATTTTGGCACGGAAAATCGTACCCCGGAACCTCTCTACTGTTAACGTACCTGTACATGTATAAGATAACATTGCAACTCTCTCACCCCGTGTCCAGTGGTAGTGTAGTGGTGAGAAGGTGCTCGCTGCTGACAAGTATGGTCAACTTCTGGTGTTGCACTAATCTTCAAATTCACTTGGAGGTTTTCTACGGCTTTTTTGCCATGTTCCTCTTGTTGCGACCAGGGATTCTACAGTGTTTATGCAAAGTCTGGACCATCAGAACATTTCAGAACTTACATGCAAATATGTACAAGTATGTAAATTAACAAGCAATAGGATCACAAGCACCCGCTTTCCAAAAAGTTCTGTACACCGTGTTCGTGGATTTCGTGTTCTCCATACTTTTGAAACGCCCTTTAGACTGTATTTGTATAGCCCTTCCTTGGTATATTTCTTTGTGCGATGATCGTAGATTTGTGCGATACACATGCAAAAGCAAGCAGATTTGATGTCCAAGAGTAGATGCATTTCTGACTCCCATCCCTGTCTTGTAGGCTTTCGGTGCCAGCAAGTTTGTTTTTCCCTGAAAGTACGAACGTTGCTCTGTGTCTCTCATGTCTGAAGACACTGGGTGTTGTACGTCTGCGTTGCGAATGTTTTGCAGGTGCACCTGGTGTTACAACCCCGACTCTCAATGTCCAACTGAGCCAGAACCAAGTTGTTGCGACGCCTGCAGCGAAGAACCAAGGTCAGGCTGTGACTAAACCTGCCAACCCAGGAAAGTCAACAGTGGCGGTGAAAGCCACCGGCGCAGTGGGGAACCCTAAGTCTACCAATGAGTCAACGTTGACCACCGCTGCTATCGCTAATGTCGTATCAACAGTACCAGGTCCTGTAGTAACTGAATCGCACTATTACCGTGTCCCTCTGAGTCTAAAGCATGGTGCCATGGTCTTGGTAAGCATATACGCCTGTTCATAGCCACTCATGAAAAATACCGTAGTGATTGTATGTAGGGCTTGGAAGTGGTGACATCAGCAGACGATAAACATGTTGAACGACTTTTGGATCAAATTGGATCCTTTAGGACTGTCGTGGAGTGTGGTATGTGGGGGTAGGCTCGTCATGTTCTGTACTGGTATGACAACCCGCGGTGTTCAGTGGTTGTAATTATCATTGCAATGGCATGAAGACAGTTTCGACTTTCTATTTCTCTTCCCGTTACTTTAATCCTATCATGCATTCAACTTTGTAAACCATATGAACTGAGTAGGTGTTCGTTGTGTCGGGTGCACTCTGTGTGCATGCTTGAGATTCCCCGACAACTTTGGTGCCGAAACCCGTTGGAAGTTCTGAAAGATGGCTTTGAAGTTGGATGGATTTATTCGCCCGTATCGGGGCAAACAGGACGACTTTGATGAGTTCTGGGCTAAGTTTCTGGTCTTAGCCAAGGCCAATAAGTGGGCCGATGACGCTGCCAAGGCTGAGCATCTTCCGTTGTTCCTGAGTGGACAAGCCTTTACGATTGTCACTCAATTGTCTGACGAGGACAAAAAATCGCCGGCAAAAATTAAATCTGCGCTGGAGCAGGCATTTTGCCCCACGCCTGGTGCTGCCTACCGTTCATTTACGTCAAGGGCTTTGCGGAATGGAGAGCCTGTGGACGCGTACCTGGCAGATTTGAAGCGCCTACTTACGCTGTCTGGCCATAAGATTGCGGATAATTCAGATCCCGTGCTGATTGAGCAGTTCCTGAGTGGTTTGCCAGCTGATATTGGTCACCACGTTCGTATGGCGTCTGCTACGCAGAAGCTCACTGTCACTGATATGGCAAATCAAATCAGAGTCATGCAGGCATCCAAACTCCCAGAATCCCATGGTGCTGTTGCTGCTGCTAGCTCTCAGCCCAAGAAGTTGCTCGTGTGTTACCAGTGTAAGGCCGTGGGCCATGTGAGATCACAGTGCCCGAAGCGTAAGCCCAGTGTCACCTGTTATGCCTGTAAAGCGAAAGGGCATATTTCCAAGGACTGTCCGAACAAGAGTCGAGTTGGAAATGTCGCTGCTGGTCACGCGCCGCCTGAATGTACGGATATTTGCCTTGCTCTGGCAAAATCGGGTGGAGACCTAGTTCGTGTAGCCGTGGACGTACAGGAACCCAGTACTGAGTCTAGTACGTGGACGCGTTTTGCCTCTGTGGTGGATTCTGGCTGTACTCGCACACTTGTGGAGTCGGCTGTTGTTGACCGATTGAACCTATCAGCTGCAGTTTCTCCCTGTCAGGACAAGCTGTTGTCTATCGACGGAACCCCACTTACTATCCTTGGCAACGTCACGCTACGTGTGCAACGACTTGATGGAGCCGTCCATTTGCCTCGGATCACTATTGATTGTCTCGTTGTGCCCAACTTGTCGTCCTTGAACACGGACTTCCTGATTGGCACAGATACCATTGGCAAGGTTGGTGGCCTCACTCTACGTTACGACGGTCTAGGGGGCACGCTGTCCTCAGTTGTGTTTGGTCAGCAGGCAGGTGTCGCTGCCGGTGCATCTCCCCAACCCGAATCTGGGAAGCCTAACAAGCTTTCTCGTGACATCGATGTTACCGAGTCCGAGTCGACAGTCACCTTGAAGGCGAATGATTGCCAAGCTAACTGGTCGAATGAGCGTGGTCATTGGATTGCTCAGTGGTCGTGGAAGGGTGGCGTTGCACCCGAGCAGCACATTGGTTCCGGCATTGGAGAGTACTCGCGGAAGTCTCTAAGCGTCAGCGAGGAGGAGCAGTTTGCTTCAGAAATGAAGTTGTGGGTGGACAATGGATGGCTTGTCAAGTACGACTCCGAGGCATTCGGAGAGCCTGTCGCTGTCTTGCCGATACTTGCCGTTAGTCAGCAGCACAAGGCATCCACGCCGGTTCGGCCGTGCTTGGACTACCGTGCCCTGAATGCCTGTCTTGTGTCCCACCCCGGTGTCACCGCTCCAGCTTGTGACGCGAAACTCCGTGACTGGCGCGGACGTAGTGCCGACAGCGTTCTTCTCGACATCCGGAAAGCCTACCTGCAAGTACGGATCCATCCCACCCTGTACAAGTACCAAACCGTTGTGTACAAAGGCGAGTTGTATACCATGACCCGCATGGGATTCGGTCTGAACGTTGCGCCAAAGATCTTGGACATGATTGTCCAATGGATTACCCGTGATCACGCCGACGTTGACAACTATGTGGACGACCTCTACGTCCCTACTGCCCAGACCGACATCGTCCGCCATGAACTCGCCAGCTATGGGCTTGAGACGAAAGAGCCAGAGCAGTTCGCAACTGCTCGTGTGTTGGGCCTACAGCTGTCCTCTTCTGATGTCGAAGATACAGTCACGTGGGAACGTCGTGCTGGTGTTGACCTCAAGTTGCCAGAGTCACCAACTCGTCGTCAAGTGTTCAGTTGGTGTGGCCGTGTGATTAGTCACTACCCGGTATGTTCCTGGTTACGCCCGCTGTGCAACTACATCAAGCGGCTTGTCTGCGAGAACACATCGAAATGGGATGACCTCGTACCGCCTCATCTCGTGCAACCATGTCGTGAGGTCGAGTCTCGTGTCCGTCAAGACGATCCTGTGCATGGTGTCTGGTCTGTGCCCTGTGATGACACCACAGTGTGGCACGTTTGGTGCGATGCTTCTGGCCTGGCCATGGGTGCGGTTCTGGAAGTCAACGGCGCTATCGTCGAAGACAAGTCCTGGCTCAGACCTTCCGATGATAAGCGTCATATCAACATAGCAGAGTTAGACGCCGTCATCAAGTCGCTCAACCTCGCTCTGTGTTGGCCAGTGAAGAACGTGGTCTTGCACACTGATTCGCGTACAGTCCATGGCTGGTTGACGCAGTTGCTGAACAACATTCGTCGTGTTAAAGTGAGTGGCCTTCACGCTACGTTGGTTCAGCGTCGTTTGCAGATCATCGACGATTTGATCACTGTATCTGGCATTACAGTTGACGTTGAATGGGTCCGCTCAGAGGACAATATTTCGGATCAGCTAACCCGTGTCATGACTGTCATGCACCAGTCGTTCACTAGCGCCAAGGCTTGTTATTTAGCTGTGTGTGTGTATATTTTTCGCTGTCTGCATGCGTGTCTGTGTCCTTGTCTGCAGATTATCGTGGCAGGCGTCATTGGGTTTTTCTACATTGTGCTCTCAAGTTGGCGGTCGTCACGAAGGCGTAACAGATTACGATCGTACGTGGTTTTGTGTGTTCGTGGATGTGTGGGTGGGTGGGGGTGGGGGCGCCTCTCCCCTCACACACACACTCCAGTAGAACTCCTACTTGAAGTTGTTGCGCCCAATAGTTTTTTTATACATTTTAAAAAGCAATCTCACACCCAACTCGCAAGGGAGATAAGACAAGAAAGAAAGAAACAGTTGACAGTGTAATTGTTACAGTTCTGCCGAAGAAGTCCTTCAACAGCATCTCTTTGTCTGTGGGTGTGCACGTGTGTGGGTGCACGTGTGTGGGTGCACGTGTGTGGGTGCACGTGCATATGCGTGCATGTGTATGTGGGTGTTGTTGTGTGTCCAGGTTCCGCGGAGCACGTGAGAAACAAGAAATGGAGCCCCTGGGCAAAAATGCGGACGACCAGGAGGACGAGACAATATTTGACATGTCAAGAGCGTAGCTTCGCTCGCTCTGTCGACTCGATGATGCCGTTCTTTCGCTTTTGCGTTTCCCTGTCCTGACCTGGCTGGCCATTTTCTGCTTCCTTGCGTCTGGCACACTCTTTATGAACCGATGCTGTTCTATAAAGTATCTGTTCTGCTGAACCATTGCAACAGGTATGTTGTTATTGCTGTACATAGCCAATTAAAACCTGACCTGTCGTGTGTCTGCCGACGTCCTGTTTGCTCGCTCTGGCTTTCCCTAGGTGCCACAGCATTCAATTGCGCCTCTACACGTCTCGTATCTGTAGCTACAGTTGTCGTGCCAACATGTTTCATGGACATGCCAGCTCTGCGGTCGCTTTTTTATTCATCTTTGGACAGTGGACACGTGGGGAACTACCATAACCGATTTTTTTTGCACATTTTCTTCGTTGACTAGCGGTAGATACAGGTTTTTATGAACAATGCTCACCAGTTTTCTACATGCACACCGGATTATTTTTAGGGTAGGCATTCGAGCGCCACTTCTCACAACAAGATCTGTGCGTGTGTTGAGAAAGCCTGCGCCCCGTTTTAAAAGCACTGCACCAGATTCTGTATGACTTGTGCCATATCAATACAATGTCATGTACGTTCGGCTATTTATGTGTAATGGTTTACAGGAACGAAGGCATAGCGTTGTGTGATGGAGAACGTATAATTTAGAGTTGCAATGAGTGCAGCGGATAGATGATTACCCGCTTGAAAACTCATAGCTCTATTGTGATTCGGGTACTCGCTCCGGCTCTGACAGGGTTCTCCGGTTACTTGTCCGAGCACGTTGGTGTCTGGATATCCAATTTTGTCTGTGTACGAGTATGGGGGTGGGGTGAACACTTGGGTTTGGTCCTGTTTTCTACCTGCGCCGAAGGGCACAGCCGAGGTGAGATCTTATGCTGGTTTGCTCCCAGCAAGCTTCCTTCTATTTCTAAGTGTAAATTTGTTTTCTTTGACCAAGTCTAACTTATTATTCTGTTGTTTTACTGAAATCAAGAATATAAAGTGCTACTCGTTCTCCCAGGCAGCATGCATATGAGTTCAGATGTTGCTGGACAGAGTTGGTGCCGCAGTTACACGAGTTGCCTGGTGTGTCTTGTGCTCAACCAACATTGGAATGCACACAAATGCATACACACACACACCACCACCACCACCACCACACACACACAAGCACGCGCTCGTGCGATAGGCTGGTTATGACAAACTGCAAATGCAGATGTTCCTGGACAGCGCTTGAGATGCAGAGCCACGAGTGACGCGGCTTTTCTGCACACACCTACATGTATAAGCAATTGAATTTGGACATTGTGCCAACTAATGTTGCAGCAAAGAGCAATGTGAGCTAAACTAAGACAGAAGCGGTCAAGCTGATGATGTGTACAGGGAGAGTTCATATTTCAACGGGCATGGACAATTTTGTACATACATATTTGTACAGGAGTTCATATTTCAACGAGCTTGGACATTCTCGTACATACATATTCTTCACGAGTAGTGGCACTGGTGTTCCTATTCGAAATACTATACTTGGTATTTGTTGCGCTATCAGCCGTTCAACCTTGGATACGCAGTTTATCGTCAGCCCTTTGAGGTACGATACTGAAGATGCACTATGGGTGTGATACTTGGTCTGGGCCGGGCCGGATGGTTTTGTAGCATCCTCGCAACCCACCACGGAGTGCGAAAACTGTCTCTGGTGTGCATGGTATATCAAGCGGCTCATGGTCAGCGCAGTGGACGGAATGGATAAGACTGGGTGATTATCGCACAGTCTGCATCGCTTTGCAACGCATCAGCAGAATGAGGCACGGAACATGATGTCATTGCCGGCCGTTTTCATATCCGCGTCCAATGACTGCTCGGGCACTTGTTCCTCCAGCTCAGGCACTTGTTCCTCCAGCTCAGGCACCTGCTCCTCCAACTCAGGCACCTGTTCCTCCAGAATGGGCGCTGGCAGTGATGGGCACGAGTCGTTCCCCTCTGGCAGCTCATGGAACACACCGCCATTGCCCTGTTGGAGGTCCATGGGCCGCATGTAGCCACTGTTTGCATCCATGCTGTCGTGTTGTTGTACATAGCGTGCCTCCTCCTCCACGTCAACGCCTGTAGATGTTGTTGTGACTGAGGCATAGCGGATCTTCTCCATGGCCTCCTCGGCATGCCTCAGCGTAGCCTGGGGGATGCAGTGCACAGCAGACGGCGCACCACAGCACCACCACCACGACACCACAACATGAACGGTGGAAGAAATAAGCCTCGACTGCTACTACTGTGTGCGTCCATTTTCTGCAACACACACATGCACTAGCAAGTCACTCTACTTCACGCAGGAGCCAATCAGATAGATTTCTTTATTCTTCACGGTGAGTAAAAATTGAATGTCATCTCATATCACAACATTCACACTGAACTTCAATAGTTTAACTCAGCATCCCTACTTCTCAGCCTGCTTGATAACATCTTTTAAAATGCAGTCATTCTAGTCTAGATGTGCTCCAGACTTAGATAAGGTTGGAGCTAGCCCATGACTCGAAACGAGTGACTACAGCTGCTATCTCGTTTTGTGATCTCATGCTTATGGATACCCCTCTCCCCGGAGTGTGCAACTATTGTGTGTGAGGGAAGGGGGCTGCGTAGGAAAAAAATTCACCCCCCCCCCCCCCATACACGCACATGTGCCTGGTATCTCCAGAGTTGTACGCCATCGACCATGCACTGAGCGCAACTCTCCAGTGGCCCCTTTGCGCTGTAGTCTTATTCGTATGTATGCGTGGCCTGATTGCCTACACACTTTCTTAAATTTTGATGGGACAATGAATGCCAGTTTGCTGCCAGTTGAAACATGCACTTACCCGCCGTCCCAGTTGTGGAGGATTCCTTTCGCGTTTAGCAAGGACATCAAGACATGGCACGACTAGTCGCTTCTGTGTGGACAGTAGTCGAGCCAAGTCACTAGCCTTCGGCCTGCGGTCTGGGTTAAAGTCCCAACATTCGAGCATCAGTGATGAGCTGCAGGTGGGGAAACAGACGCAAGCAAAAACAGCATATCTACTGTGTCCGATGTATACATTTACAAGAGAGTTGACCGGCCAACGGAACGCGTTCAAAATGTTCCTACCCGCTGCTCACACGCACACACACACACACACACACGCACCCACAGAGGTTTTGCAGAGCAAACGTTCGCGCGAATTTTCGCTTGACGTCTCGGGAAGCGAAACTTCGTGCGAATGTTCGCAACTTTGAACGCGAAAGTTGCAGGAAACGCGAAAAAAACTTTCGCAGCAATTTTCGCTCGTCGCGGACCCGTGGTGTACCGGTGAGCCACCCTCAATCCTTATTTTGTGCTTGATCTCTACTCTTGGCTTGGTCCACGAGTGCTAGCTTTCCCATAGATGTGGCAGCCCGTGTTTCTTCATCTCCGGAACCATCTCCGATCTCCTGCCAGCTCGTCTTCTCAGAGCCGGTTACATCAATGATGGCTTTTTCGAATTTCAGGTGTTGATGCGCCGCATTACGGCACAAGCCAACCCGTTTGTCTGTGGGTCTCCGGCCATGGACAACATAGTGAAAGAGCTCTCGTCTCAGGCAGTGACTCAGGGTGCCGCCACTCGCAACAAAACAAATAATCGGATGAAGACCACTTCTCAAACAAGCGCGAACGCACGCGTACTTTTTTGGGGCGAAAATCATGCAAAACACAAAATATTTAATTTCGCGAGAAACGTTCGCAATAATTTTCACATGGCGGATCGCGAAAATCATTGCGAACGTTCGCTCTGCAAAACCTCTCTAACGTCTACCTCCCCCCAAACATGGCTGCGCGAACACTATCAGGTACGGCTGCACAGCCAACTGCTAATTGCCTGCTAATCGCCTTACAGTTCCTCAGTACACTCCTCTGGCAGTTCCATCAGGTAGCCAGAGCGGATATAGGACATCACCTCCCCGTTCTCCAGGCCCGGGTATGGTAGTCCGCCGAACGTGATCATCTCGAAGAGCACAATGCCGTAACTCCAACAGTCGGTCTGCGTCGTAAAGATGCCGTCCAGTATCGACTCCCTGGCCATCCAACGAATAGGCAGTAGTGCTGCAGGCAAGCACAGCACAGCACAAGGCGCAGAGAGAATTGGTGTGGTAACCGCAGCACCACACTGAGGACGACTCAAAGGAGAATAGAAGCAAATGAAATGCTGGGCTCTTATTGCGAGCTTCATTCTTATTCATAGCTTGTGGAGCTATTTAATGCACCTTGCAGACAAGTTGACTTCAGTGGCAATTGCGATGCAGGTAAAGTTGACAACAAGAAAGAAGCATGGTTTGCAACATGCAACATGCCACTTCCAGCAACAACTGGACTGCCAAGGATCCCAACAGCTTAGTGACCTGAAAATAGTAAGTACTCAGGAGTTCAAGCCAAAAAATCCAGCTCTCCGCAGTGTAGTGGAAGTATTATGTTGAGCATTGTTGCAACGAGTACTTTGAACGTGTGGTGCTTTACAGGTGGAACAGGTTGGCTGCCTCAGTGGGAATAGATCGGTTGTCACTGACAAGAAGCGGGAATAGCAAGACTGCATGTGTGTTTCTGTGCATGTGCGTGTGTGTGTTTCTGTGTGTGTTTCTGTGTGTGTTTCTGTGCATGTGCGTGTGCGCGCGCCCCTTCTTTCTTGGCGGAGGGCAAGAAAACTATTGTTCCTATTAAAAAAAGCTTTGAAAATATAATGATCATTTTGTATTCTCCTTGGGATGATCGAATCACAGGGTTATACCTGAAGCCTTGACACGGTAGTAGTCGCTGACTTTGACATCACGTGCCATGCCAAAGTCGCCAATCTTCACCTTGAAGTTGGTCGTCACCATGCAGTTACGAGCTGCCAGGTCTCTGCAATCACATCCAACAGTATCACCCAAAACACACATAGCCTGCTTAGACTAATAGCATCTTCTAATTTTGCAACACGAGCAGTGCACGCAGTACTAGTGTATAGGCCGTTCGCAGTGAGGCCGAACACAAACATAGGCTCTAGGCTCGTTCTTCTGTCTGTGTAAAATGTTTGTACTTGTTCATTCTTTATATGTATAATGACTTACACCGGGGACGTAGTGTCCTTGTTGTTCTGTCATGCATGACTTATATGTACTTGAAGCACATAGCCACTACTAGATTTGCAATACCCAACAGCACGTACCGCCAGTAACGGGGTTTGTTGCCCCAGACATTGGCACATGATACTCAACCGTAAAAAAAAAAAAGGAAAAGGTAAATTATCGTGTCCGTTCCCGAAGGGAACTCACGACGGCCGCTAACACCAGGTAAACCCTAGCAGCAGATGCAGCGCCTAACGGTGGGGGGGGGGGGGGGGTAAGTCTCACAACCACTCGCACAAAGCTGGTCTTCACCCGTATACCGTGTCAAGTTAGTCGGCAAGCGGCACGAGCTCCGGCGTTCGGAGCAGACACTTTCCTCGTATGTGGTCTAGACCGGGTAATAGACTGTACTGTGCAGGTCTATGCTCCACTCTACCTGTGGATGAAGTTAACACTCTACCTGTGAATGAAGTTAACACTCTACCTGTGAATGAAGTTAACACTCTACCTGTGGATGAAGTTAACACTCTACCTGTGAATGAAGTTAACACTCTACCTGAGTATAAAGTTAACACTCTACCTGAGTATAAAGTTAACACTCTACCTGAGTATAAAGTTAACACTCTACCTGTGTATGAAGTTAACACTCTACCTGTGAATGAAGTTAATACCGTGCAAGTACAGTAGTCCATAGGCAACGTCCAGAGCCATACTGGTAAGCCGCTTGGCATCGATCGAGTCCTGAATGAAGAAAACACACACACACACACACACACACACACACACACACACACACACACACACACACACACACACCCATTAAAGTATGTGCTCTTATTGGGAGACTCTGCTTTCCTTCTTTTTTTTCAATTGTCCAATACCAGGGCGATTCCAGCATTCAATTACATGAACCTAAACATAAAACAGAGAGGTTCCAGGCTGTCCAAGAGAGTGCTCAATACCGAGATGCAGAGCTGGTTCAAACAATAAGAGGACAGAGAAAGTGTTTCAAAACACTTTCTCTGTCCTCTTCTTATTGTTTGAACCTAAACATATGGAGTTTTCTAACACAGCTACTGGACTCAAAGGGGATAGGGTTATTATTCGAGACCTGGGCTTTATTAGACAAAGTATGGCAAGCAGCTCATGTCCTAAAAGCCAGTGTTCATTTTTTTCTTTTTCAATCGTTTGCCATATCACAAACTCTAACGTCTGTACGAGGCAATCCCTGTAATCTCAGCCATTATTAGTGATACAGTGAAACCTGTCTAAGACGACTGTTCAAGGGACCTTCAAAACGTGGTCTCCGTTACCAGGTGGTCTCCTTATCCAGGGTCATTTGACCGGAAATAGCATCCCTTGGTCATGGTTGCAGTCGTCTTCTAGGACAGGTGGTCACCTTACCCGAGTGGTCGCCTTGACAGGTTTTACTGTACTTCACAAAGGGAAACTTGCGGAAAGCCCTCACGACCACAGTACTCCACAATGAAATCCGATCGCGTGTGTCAAGTTTGCGCCGTGCACCATTTTGCAGCCCAGTGTTCACAGCCTGTTGCGCAATGCCCGGCGCGTACTCGAGCGACTCGATCGGATTTCATTGAGCAGTAAGTACTGTAATGTTACGTACATGCCCATCGTCCGTGTTGGCCAGGTGACGATGGCTGAGCAGAAAGTCTCGCAGGTCTCCGTGCAGCATCAGCTCCATCACGATGTACATTGGATCCTCCTTGGTGCACACGCCTAGCATGGCGACGACGTTCTGATGGGTGAAGTTCTTCATCAGCTGGATCTCCAGAAAGAACTTGGTCTGCGGAAACACGACGACAGAAAGCAAAAGCCTCGTCAGCGACAACATGGCCGAGAGGAATGGATGGCCTTAAAACTGGATTGGTACCATATTTTCCGGAGTACAAGCCGCACTCGAGTATAAGCCACATCCCATACTTTTGCCACAAAATAAATATATAATAACTATTTATCAGGTTCGAACAGTTTTGTTTTTATATTTCTTGTCTCTCTGGTTTCCTTGCTCTCTTCTTTCTTGTTGTTCTTTTCCCTTCTTTACCTTCCGAGTGTGCATGCAATATTTCTTTCTTGACAATTATTGGTAAACTAACTGAGTGAGTGCTTCGAGTGTGACTGCCTCCGGGGCCAGCTACTACACAAAAATGCTCACATGGTCTCTCTGCTGCAGATGTAACTTCAGGTTCACCGGAGGATGTACCCAGTGTGCTGACAGTGCTCAACACCGTGGAGGCAGAGTGTAATACAGAACAGAACAACAAGGACAATCAAGGCTTGGTTGCTGCTACTTCAAGTTTCATGCTCTTGCAATCATCAGGCAACAGTTGTCTAATGATTGCGAGAGCATGAAACTTGAAGTCGCAGCAAACAAGCCTTGATTGCCACGGTCCTTGTTGTTCTGTTCTGTAACTTCAGGTTCAAAACTTTACTCTTAGACCCTGTTTTTGGGCCGTGCCTGAAAATTTGGTGAACGTGAAGTGAGAGTCGCAGTAGGGAGGCCATGTTTGCATGTTTGAATGTTTGCATGTTTGAATGTTTGCATGTTTGCATGTTTGAATGTTTGAATGTTTGCATGTTTGAATGTTTGCATGTTTGAATGTTTGAATGTTTGCATGTTTGAATGTTTGAATGTTTGCATGTTTGAATGTTTGCATGTTTGAATGTTTGCATGTTTGCATGTTTGAATGTTTGCATGTTTGCATGTTTGAATGTTTGCATGTTTGAATGTTTGCATGTTTGAATGTTTGCATGTTTGAATGTTTGAATGTTTGCATGTTTGAATGTTTGCATGTTTGAATTGAAGAAAAGAAATGAGTAAATGGTTGCAATGGAGTTTGCGAATCCTTAGCAAGTGCTCGAATGAAGGCAAAGTATGAGTGGCCTGTACTCACCTTGTCTTGGCCATCAGCTTCTTCTCGCAAGGTTTTGACGGCCACGGCGGTGCAGTTTCGTTCGCCTTTCTTGAAGTAGTCGGCACCGTACACCGTTCCGAATGCTCCCTCGCCCAGCTTCCTGTTGATCTCGAGCGTTTTCGGGTCAATCTCCCAGGTCTCGTCCGGCACCAGCATGTTGTAGAGGTCGTTTTCCTTCAGGCCAAACTGCTGCAGTCTCGACATAGACCTCTGCAGGTACTTCTGCTTGTACCTGAAAAGAAAACACAGCAGGATTATAGGCATTCACTTTGGGTACCGGAAAGCCATAATTCTGCACAAATTCATCGAGATCACTTCATGGACATGCAACTATAGCGCGTTTCAAAAGTATAGACCTCTAGACTTTCTCTAGACCTCTAGAAGTGATCACAGATTTTATGTGGTACAGATGCTGGCCTAACGGTTTTTCGAAACCAGAGGTCTGGACTTTTGAAACGCACTATAAAGACTTAGCCAGAGGGAAACATACTAGCGCACAAAGAGATGAAGCCAGGTGTAAACCTGGTGAGGCCTTTCATACCATTACAGTCACACCTCACCTAACCGCACACACATCCGTTGTCCACAAAATATCCGGATAGGCAAGGGAACCAGATAATCGAACACACATACTGTATGTATGCATGCCATATGCTGTAAATCGGTAGCCAACGATTTTCTTCCGGATGGCGAGGGATCCGGATAAAAGAGAACCGGATAAGCGAGGTCTGGCTGTACTTCTCAAACCAGTACAATCACGGTGATAATGTGGCGAAGCACGATGTCAATTTCCACAGCATATTGGCGGAAAAACTGTGGTGAAACGTACACAGGCTGAATGATGGTGTGAGTTGCGCCGAAGAGTGCAAGACTTATAACACCATTTTTCCGCTAACATGCTGTAGAAATTGACACCGCTGTGCTTCGTCACATTATCACCGTGATTGTACTGATTTGAGAAGTATTGGTACGAAAGGCCTCATCAGTTTTACAACTGGTTTCGTCTCTTTGTGTGCTAACTTAGTACTTGTAACTGTTTTAATTACAAGGAGAAAAACTTCCTTCTGCCAGCGGAGAGGGCTCAACACAATAATGTGGAGCACTATTACACAGAAAAGGCACAACGGAGGTGGCTCAACACAATAATGTGGAGCACTGTTGAACACAAAAGGCACAACGGAGGTTTAAAGATTTGTCGCAACTCAGAGTTTCTTGCTCAATGCAATCATGAGGCGACTATTACATGTTCAGTGGGACTTGGCCAATATAAAGCATAGTTTGGTGATTTCCGGTGTCTTGCTGGCGTCGATAATGGTATGTTCCTCGCTGAATAGTTCATGTTCAGTTTCTGTATCCCGTCAATTGCTGCTGACATCCGGTAGAGTGCTCAATCTGAAAGGGAGCGGTCCTAGAAGGAGGAAAACTGTTATAATTATACATTATCATGCGGAGTACATTGGAAGAAAATACGCCTTGCGGTTACATTGTGCAGGCCAAGCAGTGCCCTTTGTCCTGCAACGCTGTTGTGCCCAAAGAGTGTGGTGTAGCTGCTTGCAGCTCTCGACTTACCTCTTCTTATTTCTCCGATTCAGCACTGCTATGAAGATGAGTGCAACCAGAATGAATATCGCTATGCACAAAAATTATGACAAAAACAAGTGTACAATGTTGTTGTCCATTAGGGTACGACAGGTTTTCGTTGATGTTCAAGGGATGAACTTTACAAATACCACTTCCCCTAAACACACACACACACACACACACACACACACACACACACATCGCTCCTCTTTTCGTAACAGCCAGGCGTCTTTTCAGTTTCACCCCATCCCCACGGACCTAGCAACGAAGAGTGATAACAGTTACACCAGCACACCAAGCAACTAAACAATGATGAGGAAGTAGTCCTGCACGGCTTAGGCCTGACGGCAGCAGCAATGTCCCTAGGATTGTCTGCCACAATGTGTAAACACTGGGACACTACAAGGCTATGGTCATCATCAATGCGTAAGGGGCGTCGGAACTGGTTCGCCAGGTGATACTTAGGCCGCATCTGCTGCTTTTTGGAGAAGAAAAAAGTAAGGGTTACTTGATCTGTACTTTCCAAACTACAATACAAAACTACAGTGGAGTCTGCACATCCAGTACTACAGTGGAGTCTGCACATCCAGTACTACAGTGGAGTCTGCACACCCTAGTAGTAGGAACGAAACTAGTAAGCTATCACTAGCTCTGTATGTCGGTGCTGGTGCAAACGGCCAAGCAGAGGTTGTTTTAAAGTGCTCCACGTTTAGGCAAAGTAGCATCCTATTCGCTGAAAATTTGTAGATTCACAGCATCACATTCCGGCTGTGACACAATTACTCTAGCCAGAGCAGCGGTATTTGTATGCAGACAGTGAGGTTGGGCATGACATGATCGGACAACTTACGGCATAAGACGACAATAGCAATGGCGCCACTGCAGCCGACGGCGTGGCCCAACGTTTCCAGCCCCGGGCACTTGGGGTCTGAGACGGCATGGCCGCGAAAAAGAACGCAAACATATCAGCAACAGAAAGAGTTAGCAACCACCACATGGCATTACCAAAATAGGAGATGCAACTGGGTTGTGATACAAAGGGCAACATTCAAGGCTGAGCTATGAAGTTTTTCATAGATGTGCTGTGAGTGTGTGTGTCTAGTCAAAATGCTTTTACTTCAAAGTAATGCTGGCCATAGTTTCCACTATACCAGCTCTCTGAGACGCCAGCTGCATTCGAAGAAAATCGCTTCTGGACCTGTGTTTACATTCAATATGTAGATCTGAGCCACACATTCATATCTGCGGGCAGGGAAAACTCCAATGAGGTGGTGAAAGGACTTCTTTTCCCTTCCCCCACCCAGTTGCCCATGCCCAACTAAGTGCACACATATGTATGTAGGACTCAGACAGCAGTCACGTCTCACGTAGCAGTCACCGTCTCCAAAGTCAGTCATACAGTCAAATCACTCACCCACCAGTCACAGTTTGCGTCTTTTGAGAAACCAGTTGTGGTGCCCACAAGCCAGTCACAGAATGCCGCGACTTGCGATCACGCGTGCACAGAGTCGGAATACATGCATGTACATATGTATATGTATGGCGTGCAAGTGATACTGCTTTATGTGTCCAATTATTATTGCGAATTATTGTGTCCGATTCGATATCAATATTTTTCTTCATCTACTCACATCCAGCGTAAGGTAAGTGAAAGAGAAGACAAGAAGCAGTTGCTGGCTGGTGAATTACGCCTGCCGTGACGATTTTAGGCCATCACTGCCCTCCGTCTTGCTCCTGTTTGGAGAGCGAATACTGCGATGGGATCAGCGATACAAATGTGCAATTTCGAGTCGCATTCCGTGCCAACATCGCCACAGCCGATCTCTCCAAGCGTCCACCACATCTAGAAGACGTCAACATTACCTGGAACAAGCTACATCTTCCCTACAAGCAGCGAAACTGAGCGAGAACACGATCGAAATAGGGAAACTTGTTTGCGCTGAAAAGCATACTTTTACGCGTTCGTTCTCCATACTTTCAAATGGCAACCTACCCATGTCATACATCAAAGCTGGTGACTTGTTTTTGGCTCTCTGTGACTTGTTTGTGACTGGTGACTGGTATTAGAGGATTTGTGACTGCATGACTGGTAATGATTAGGGGCAGGGACTACTATGAGAGCCCTGACTGCTGTCAGAGTCCTACATGTATACAAATGCCGCAGCCCAGTACACATGCACAACAGTGCGATTTCTTACCGGGGATCAGTAATGATATTGGTGCAGTGCAGACGTCATCTTCTGCAACACACGGCGCTCCCCACACCACTGTCGACGTGTTCAGTTCAAACGTTAGAGGGGTGCCAAGTTCCGTGTAGTTGCTGGCAACAGTGCGCATGTTGCAGATCAAATCCACAAGCGTTGTGGCGCCTGTCAATGAGCAAGCATTGCTGTACATGCAGGATAAAAGCACAAACACACACACACACACACACACACACACACACACACACACACACACACACGGTAATTCTACTGTTGCAGCGTTGTTCTCTCGTAATTTAGTAGAACCAGTAACTGTGTATATGTTTTTTTCCTTTCATTGTCGAACGATCTCCTGTGTACCGGTTTCCTGGGACAATGATTTTAGCCATTTCTCTTCTCCAGTCTTGTGCAATCATGCATATGTAGGTTGATTCTCTTCATGTTATTGTGAAATATTTCATATTAGATGTTGGTTGCCTTGCTGCTTTCTCTCCTCTCTCCTCTCACCCAAGCCATTCTGCATAAGCGAAGCTGTGGACGCAGCATACTGCTGCTACACGTCAACGCGGGAAAGCGTACAATAACACTACACGCCTTCCTATTCTTGAGATACTTGGCGAAAACAGAGCTCGGCTAAACATCAGTGTTGGCGATCTATTGCATGCTCTGCCAACCCTCATGATGGGCCAGGCCCGGCAATTTGGTGGAATGTTAAGTGATTCGCAGCGAAGAGACCCTTGTTTGAGTTGGAGAAGTGAAGAGTTCTACATCTGTCCAATCAGCTAAACAAAATGCTTAACTTCAGTGTGGCTATTACTTCGTATTTGCTGTTCCGTTCTACAAGCATTGCCCTCTACAGACCATTCACAAATAATAGATCTCAATCCTATTTTAGACCATAGAAAGGCTTGAATGAGTTCGAAGTGCTCAAAACCTGGCAAAAAAAGGTTACTAGTAACCTTGTTTTGATCCACCTTTTGGAGAAACAAACATTTAAAACATAATTGGAAGATCGTTTCCATACTGCATTTGCAAAAAACAATTCTGAAAAGTTCAACCATTGTGATCAAAAACAGGATAATCATCATTTTCTAAATGGACTGTATGTACCTATGTCCCATGCCGCATGTTGTCACTTACTGATCTGAGTGGATATTTCGCACGACTGCAGAGGCTCCAATTCTGTTCGTGTCCTTAGAATTACGGAAGGAGACGTTCCCACTCGCACCGGAAAACTCAACATTTTTCGCACTCGCCGTCAGACTTCGTCTAAAGTAAGAAGAAGGCAACACAAGACATAATTATAGATGGCAAATGAGGATCAACCGATGTGTGTGTGGGGGGGGGGGCAAAGGAGGAGAGGGAGGGAGTTGTGAGACCCTTTATCCAGCGTCAGCACCGAATGCCTGCGCTGATTGCATACAGTTGTCATCAGGAAAGGTCTTACAAGGGTATTCCAATAGTCATGGGATAGTGCGCACTTCATCCATCCATAGAAGACAAACTGACATCATCATCTGTATTTGGCAAGATGTACTGGTGGCAGGCTGGTGCCAAAATCCTCATACGGATGAAAAACTAAGGTCACATGACTAATGAGATACCCTTTATATAGTACATTAGCTCAACATTCGTGTGTATAGAGCACCCTGAATAACTAGATGTCCAACTAATCATAGGTCAGCCAATGCATTGCATAGTCTATGCTATACAGTACAGCCTCTCTTATCGGGGTATCAGACCCATATCCACCGCCGGATACCTCCTTCAATGGGGCACCCTGCGGGCAGATCACATGTGCCTTTAATATTGTCCAACGATTCATCGGTATCCTTACGGAAAGGCCTCTGTGAACAAAACAAGCCGCCAACAGGAACTCAACATCTACCGATATCTCGATTTTTGCTGATGTAATTTGGCAGCGCGTCAAGGCCAGGCAGAGAATGCAATGGTGCTGTGGGAGTTGAAGAGTGCTATTCCACGTAGTTATCAGAGTTCACAAGCACGGAACTCACCTGTACGCAGTGTGAGTAAAGTGCTTATCCGGCGTGTAGACTAGATCATCTATCATGTGTTGGATGTCGCTGCAGCTGCTCAGGTCAACGCTGGCATTGTTAGCATAGCCGTGCAAAGCATACGCTGCTGTCCACACGGCATCGTAGGCAAAACCAGCGTAGCTGAAATCTCCCGTTCGGCTATACTCCGGATAGGATTCCTTATACTAACGTCGAAGAAAGCAAAGATCAGTGCAAAGAAGGAGAGAATGTCAGAGAGACACTATATAGTGCAAGATCTGGTAGGTATTTTTCCCACTCAGAGCATATATTATAGGGCAGGGAGAGTGGCGGAATACGATGTGTTGTTTTACAATGGCATACTGGGAAAATGAAAATATTGCAGATGCCAAATTCCCGCCACAAGTTAGCCAATGACTCAGTTTCCAGATAGCAAGCTGACTCAACTTTGTTACGTAACTTTGTCACTGAAACAGCATAATGGCCACACACGAACCATTATTCCTGTCAGTGAAGGACACGTTCTCTTCGATGATGCTATAAGAATGTTCAACATGACTACTTGACTAGTACCATATTCCCGTGATTAGAGTCCTCTTTTGTATAGTGCCCCAGTCTCTAAGAGCCAGTAAAAAAATAAAGCCCTCTCTTGAATAGTGCCCCCCCCTGCCCTGGGCTTGTAACCAAGCGCATGTGGAAGTTTGATGTTCTTTCCCCAAAGTTCTTGTCCATGACATTGTCTTTGTACTTGTGGTTTCAGGATCAAAATCACAGTTCTTGCTGCCGTTTCTGTTGAGCCGTGATAGTTTGCATGCAGGGCTCTGTTTTTCTTTGCTTTGTATACTTTATGCTGGATGCCGTAAAAGTACCAGCATTGAAAACATAGTGCCCTCTCTTGAATAGTGCCCCATCTGTGAATAGTGCCCCATCTGTGAATAGTGCCCCATCTGTGAATAGTGCCCCATCTGTGAATAGGGCCCCATCTGTGAATAGTGCCCCATCTGTGAATAGTGCCCCATCTGTGAATAGTGCCCCATCTGTGAATAGTGCCCCATCTGTGAATAGTGCCCCATCTGTGAATAGTGCCCCATCTGTGAATAGTGCCCCATCTGTGAATAGTGCCCCATCTGTGAATAGTGCCCCATCTGTGAATAGTGCCCCATCTGTGATGGACATTGAAAAGAAGTACTAATCGTGTGAGTACCGTAGCAACATTGATTCAATATTCTACCGGGTCTGATACAACCAGCATAGACGGTGACAGCCAAGTTCATTGCCTCTTTATTGTTCGTATCAATCTCCGGATTTCTACATATGCCCTTCTACTACTTCCTCCGTTAACAAAAACTTCGTGATGGAATTTTGAGGGGCTGATTTGGGCACAAACTGCCGTGAAATGAGTCACAATCACTTTCTTTGCCTTCCCTGGCATGCCATGACAGAGGTACGATGCAAGGAAAGCGACCTTTCACAACAAGCCGAGCGGACTCGATGGTTGCGCTGTGGAAACATAGGTGATGACAGTCATGACGAGCGAAACTGAAATGCCACTTCTCCGAGGGGATATTGCGCTGCTTGGCCTCTCTACCACTTTAGCACTGAGTACGTTGGAGAGTGATAGAGAGCGATAAAACGGAGCAGCGAGCCCACACAATGAGCGAGTGAACAAGGAGCTGCTCCGATCGCACCGCTCAATGAAAATAATTCTGAACTGAAGTAACACGTTAGTTCTTGTTCAACCTGCGCAAAGCCCAGATTCGAATGCTGATGACCATTCATTCTTTCAGAAGTCTGCAGTTTGATGCGAGTCTCGTGGCTAAAGAAAGTCGACTGGACTTGCTAGCCGCTGCCGTTCAGTGCTGGTATCCATTAGAGAAAATGGAATCAGTTTAGCTGTGCCTTTACTCTTCGTTTCGCGGAGTTCTGGAGAGCGAAGATGAAACCAGGGAGTCGTAAAATATTTTTCACGACTCCCTTGTGGAAACGAGTAATCGCCATCGCGGCGGATCACGCAGCTTGAAAGCAAACTTACTTGAACCGCTGCGGCATCAAGCGGAGTGTGATCAAAGAAGCCGAGGCAAGGCTGAAACGAGCCGAACAACGACTCGAGAGAGATGACGACTCGCGTACAGCAGATGACGACTCGCGTGCAGCAGATGACGACAGCGACGCAGGTCAAAAATGAATCGAGCGAAAGCGACGCAAACTGAACTCTCTGCTCATTCCGCCAACAGTTTCTCTTGTAAAAGCGCTGCACATAGGCTGAATCACCGTCGTCCAGTAATTTGCAGTCGATACAAACTGTTCTTGACCTGTTCTAAGGGTTTTCATATCCATCAAAATCCATCACGAATTTTTTGTTAACGGAGGAAGTACAAGTAATCCTTACGTCCAGAGACCTCAACTCCAACACAATACAGTCTCTTTGCTGCATACGTCATCAACTGATCACCAAATTTTCGGTTTTTCTGTCTTCACCCTGATATGAAATGCCTAAACATTTGGTGAACAGTTGATGACGTAAGAAGCGAAGAGGCCGTATTGTGTCGGATTTGAGGTACTGCAAAGCGACAAACTTTCGCGGCGCGCAAATTTAGCGTTTTCATAAATTGGGCTGGTTCACGATGAGAAACTTTTGCAATTCTTTCTCTTCAGTCGGATCTTGTACTGTCTACAATCAATGTACGGAGAGGTTTGCGGTGATTTATATTCGCGAATGTGTCATGGTCGCGAAAATAGCGAAATTTAATCTCTAGCAAATGTTTCTCACTTTACAGTACCCTAATGTGTAAGTGGCTGCAATGGAGTCTGCAAGCGCTTAGCAAAGTTAATCCTTACGTCTATAATAGCATTGATCACACGCTTCTGCCACCCTGATGTTGTTTCAGCATTGATTGGAGAGTAGGAATCTGTGCCTGGGAAGCTGAACCGCTTGTCCTGGATCACGTCGTTTCCGCGCACAGTGAAGCTTCCCATAGCTGCTTCCCGTATCTCCTCAGCAGAGCAGTTGTACCCGTCGAGATTATCGCCAACAGTGCCGAACCAGCTGAGCGGTGTGGTCCAGGAGGGCCAAACGAACACGAGCTTGTGATTCTCGCCAGACTGGGGATTTGAACAGCATGAAGTCCAACCCTATGGTAACATGGACAAGGACACGAAATGCAAGCAGCCCAGAATCAGTAAGGGTCCTTTTTTCAATATAAAACATCATCTACACCGGCCAGAATACCGAATAACAGTTCTGTATCGAAAATCTAAATCTACTTTTTCAAGCACGTCTGTCTCCAAAATATCCTACATATACTTGGCGGATACTTAAACAGCAGATATTGAGCACTGAAGTAACAAAATAATATAATACCCTCAGTGTGACCAGTGACGAGCTGCTAGGCTGGCAGCCACTTGTTACAAGTACTGTTGCGAATATCACTGCATCAAAGTTACTCAATGAAACGCTACCCCGCTGAACCACTACATCCCGCCCTGTCAACCTGCACTGTCCTTGACGCCCTGGAAGTGGTACAAATGCAGCTGGACGTAGACATGTACACACACAGCGAAACCTGTCTACGCCGACCGCTCAAGGGCCCTTCAAAATGTTATCCCTGTGTGCAGGTTGTCTCCATCTCTTGATCCTAGTTAAAATGATCCTCTAGGATAGGTGGGCGCCTTATCAGAGACGTTACCTTGATATTCTATGGTTCGAGTGAAAGACACAACCGGGAAAAGTCTAAAGGAAAAATTGACTGTCACCACCAGGATTCGAACCAGGGACCTTCGCTTGAGGCCAGCGATGCTCTAACCACTGAGCTAAGGTGTAGCCGTCATCCCAGCAGAGACCGTTACCTTTACAGGTTTGGTTTTCACTGAACAGTCACGGAATCGGAACTCATCCAGGCCGACGTCAGTTTGCACTTTGGGTTGGATTTCACCTACGTATGTCACCTAAAGTATGGGTAGGAGTTTGTACACACAGACCCTTGGTCGGTTTAGCTTCTCTTAGCCTGCCTCCACTGCTTCCGCTGCCATCACAATCCCCCCCCCCCCCCCTGTGCATTTTTGTTTGCGTTTGCCCCACAATGGTTTGTGGCTATCTTGTAAAAACACACACGCACACAAGAAGTATTGCCTCACCCGTCTCTTGGCTCCACACAGCAGAGCTCTGGCTACCCTGGCATACACCTGAGCAACAACAACCCGAGCATTGGCAGTCTGGATGCTATTCAGAACGCTCTCGATGTTGACGTCCACCTCATTGATCGTGATCGAATCTCCCAATGTGATCTGTTTCCCCTGCTGCTGATCAGGCGTGCTGCTGGAAACACCACTGTTGCGGATTTCGTTCTCAAAAAGGCGGACAAACTCATCAAACTCCTTTCCAATCTCCTTCACAATTGTAACCTTGTCCACATGGAGCGCATCGAGAAGAGCCTTCCACCCATCGGCATTGATCACACCTGATGGATTCAGGCGGAATAGAGTGCTGTAGTCCTCCGGGTCGGAAAGGTCCGCAGCGTCAGTGGAAAACACAAAGACAGGGATGCTGAGATAGGAGGCAATCTTCGCCACCACTCTTGCCGCCACCGAACATTCCGGGCCGATGACCATGCTAATGTCCTTGTTGAAGACAAGATCGAGGAACGCTTGGATGGCATCCGAGGGGTCGCAGTTGCTGGTTCCGTTCACCAGCTCTATCGTGACGTTTCCGAGCAGGCCTGAGCACTCAATGTCAGCTAGTGCTTGCGACAGCACTGTGTTATACGCCACAAAGTCTGAGATCGGTGGCGCCAGCTCGTACGACATAAGCAGTCCAATCCGCACTGTTTGTCCGCAAGCGGGCGGCTTTAGGCTGGCTGGTTCGAACAGAGTGTTTCGCAGCTTCACCATCATGTTGTTCCTCAGCAAGTCACAGCGAGTGGCATTTAGATGGACTTGCGCCAAAGTAGGGTGCACGAAAACCAAGCTGAGCATTAGTACTGTTGCAGGAAAGGATGAGAACGAAACAGCAGAATGAACACACAAGCTACCATAGTAGTACAGTGCTGGCAACTGAAATCCGACTCCCTTGCCGGCGTGGCGCGCCGCCGGCAAGGGAGTCGGATTTCAGTTGCCAGCACTGTATATTCAGAAACCCATTGGAACGATACCCACATTGTCATTTCCACTACTATCACAAGTACAACTCCAACAGTGTGCACGACAGTCTGTGCACGACAGTCTGTATAACAGAAGGCACTACCACCTGTTTTCGCCTGAGAAACACAGCGTGCACTGCACTGCCCCCCCCCCCCCCCTCTCCCTCCTCTCCACTGAACAACTACTTCAGAAAGGAATGATTCGTAATGCTCAGTTCGAATCTGTTACACTTGCTAATGAATAGGGGAAGGTTGGGGATGAAAATTTAATGCATAACTAGTACCGTAAATTCCGCTGCAAACGCCCACTTCGCTGCAAACGCCCACTTCGCTGCAAACGCCCACTTCGCTGCAAACGCCCACTTCGCTGCAAACGCCCACTTCGCTGCAAACGCCCACTTCGCTGCAAACACCCACCCCAGCGGGTCCATACTATTTTCGTCTTTTTCAGGTCAATATAGTTGTAGAAAACTGGCATGAAGGTCAAATGCGTACGAGAACGACTAAAATCCCTACAAACTGCCTATGTCTTACCAAGAGGCTCTGCAAAAGCGATTGTCATTATCTTGCTGCAAAAATTCGGAGAAGACTTCCTTTCATACGATGAATGAGTCGTCTTTGTTATCAGTTCGTTCTCCTTGAAGTAATGCCGTAGAATCCATCTGGTTTTCAAATCATGAAATTTCTGCAGTGCCACGATGTGGCGCTTTTAGAATGGAACGGTGATTGTTCTGACGAAGCGTCATTCAACGTCGCAGTATTGCAGTTGCAAGTCGAACAGGGGGGATGTCACAGAAGCTGCACCTACAAAGTCGCTGCTAACTTGTTGAAAACTCTGAAGTGCTAGAGAAAACCCTTGCTATTGCGCTTTGCGTGATTTGGAAATGATGGCTTGAAACACCGTCAGAAGTGTACTAAGAGTCCTGCAATAGCCTGTTCTTCGCTACCTTTTCATTCCGAAGTAACTCCCGTTTGGATTTGCGAAGTAAAACAACCAACATCATACAATCACTAGGAGCTAGCTCGTAACTAGTGCCCAAAAACATTTTGAAACCCGGAAAATGGACATAGTTTACCGTAGCAAAGCACTCCTCGCGCTACGGTGTAAGATGCACTTTCGTACAGCAGGGGTGAAAGTGCATGGGGTCAGTGCGTATAGACCAGCAGATCTTGCAAAAATGGGGTGGGCGTTTGCAGCGGACTTTACGGTATAACTGTTAGTGGACAATCAAATACTGTAAATATTCAAAATTTCGGCACTTCACGATTTTTGACATTTCGGCGGCGATTTATTTTCGGCGTGGGTAGAGGGCATGGTATAGTGCGACAGATGCTGTGAAAAATTTCATCGGCGTTATAATTTAGGCATTTTGGGTCGGTGCCGAATATAGCCGAAATTAAATAGCTGCCGAAAATTTGTATATTTACAGTAGGTCCTTGACGTGTTGGGGAGTATGTATATAACGGAAGGCGCCTACAAGTCTCTCCGCAGTCGAGACTGGCACTCAGCCACAGGTGCCCTCTGAACCCTCCCTGAACACCCTCTCCGCTTGCAACCTGGATCACCCTGTGTACTCTATCACATGTATCATCTTTCCATTTTTCACCCTCTATACAGTAAGTATACAAATGTACTCCCCCTCCCCTCCCCCCCCCCCCCCCACCCCTCCCCCTCCCCCTCCCCCCCCCCTGTGCCTACTCCTCCCCACTTTTTGGTGCACTGAAGTATCGCTGAAGCCGAGACCTCAGGTCGGCGGAGATGCTCCAGTTTCACCACCACAGTTGCGTCTGCAGCCACCTCTACCATGCAGTATTCTGTTCTCAAGGTTCGTGGTTTCTCGTAAAAAAAACTAAAAAAGCGGCACAACCAGCACAGCAGACTTACCAGTAATGCAGACATTGCTGCGGATCTTGTTATGGAATCGCTCCACGTAACGGCCACTGCAGGCACAGACCACATCCCTGTAGACATCATAAATACGAGAGGCAAGTTCAGCCCAAAAGTTTTTCTGGGATCAATGTCGTGTGGGATTCGGATACACACGTTGCTGCAAAATGATCATGGGGATTTTGAGGGTTTTGCCTTACTTCAAACCTGCATTTCATTGAGAAGATGACTCTTGAGCCATTTTCCAGAACTAACTTGATTGATGGGCCTGGGTCTCCAGTGTGTTCTACTAGTAGTCCTATCTTCCTCGCTGTGAATCACCTGGATCAGTGATGGTGTGCAGGAAATCAATGGTGCATCGAAGGCCACGTCATGCTTTGACACTGGGCATCCTAAGCGGCTAGCTTGCTTCACACCACACCGTATCTACTACCATGCTCACAATAACACAGATCGCTGCAAGGACACCCATGGCCACGCTCGACAAATCCCTTCATGAACATGAACAACGTGTCAGGACAGCACCTGTTCGAGTAGACAAGAGAACAAAACGCGTTTTCTGTGCAGTACATGAACCCTGACCTTGGGTCGCGATCGATTCGCACCGACTTCGTCGTGGCGCACATCGCACCTCTGCCTTTTGGTGGTCGCAAGGAGGCTGGGAATCCTCACTCCCTATGTAGCTCGCTTGAAGTGATAGCTGCGAGACACTTCACATGCAGAAGCGTCGAATCACGCCATGGCCTCTCCAAAGGCGAAGCCTCGCTGGTAGCATCGGCCTTACTACGGCTCTAGTAGATCTACCGCTGCCTACTCCTTCAGTTCAGGACTTTCAAAGGGAATGAAATGAAATTATTTTATGTGCAGCGAATGCTACAGCCAGCGCTGCAGGCAGCAGGATCTAGGACATTACTAGTACTAAGGCTAGCTAGTTCAGTAGTTGAGCTACAGAAGCAGCTGCGACTCAACAATGGACAAGGAGGGTGAGAGAAGCGAACAGCCGTGGACCCAGCTTGGAGAGACTCAGAGCGGCGAAACAGTTAGTTACTCCACTTCATTATTCCTCGGGAGGGTGTTTTATGTTCTACTGTATGCTGTGACTGCATAACTTCCATAAGGATGTCTTGCCCATGTGGTGCCGCCTTGACGGCCCAGGTACACTGAGTCCGTAAACTCTAGATTAGTGGTAGTCTTACTCTAGATCAGTACGACAGCAGGCCGGTGAACTGGGCACGGCTAGGGACCACATGGCGATGTGCCAGTTCGGTGGGTGAGATAGACAGCCGGATGTCATTGCACTATACTACTAGTACTACTGGACAGGGAAGGGCAAGTGCACTATCACCTGATCACCGAGACTTTAATACTAGTAGTATACATCATTACATGCACAATGACTTATGTAAAAAATTGGTTGTGAGCAACACTGGCTCACACTCAAATCACTGCTTTTCACCAAAAAATAAGCAGTGATTTGAGTGTGAGCCAGTGTTGCTCACAACCAATTTTTTACTTATGAAGCTGCGTGATGCGTCCTACAAGATTTTAAATAGAAAGGTTCTGCACAACGAAAATTCGAACGAAGTTTCGCGACAGGCCTTGCGAAAATGTGTACGAATTTTCGCACGAACTTTGTGTTCTGCACATTTTCGTAGTTTGCACGCGCCAAGTGCACGTACGACATGCCCCAATCTCACGAAACTTCCTACGAAAGTTCATTTCGCGTTCCCTCCAAGTTTCGCGTCCAAAGTTGCGAAAGTTTGTGCGAAGTTTCTCACTTCGTGACGTAGAGCGAAAGTTCGTACACATTTTCGTTTTGCAGAACCTCTCTAATGACTTATGTAGATTTTTTATTTCAAAAATGTGGGTGGTCATCACTACATAGCCTTACCGTCTTATCTCTAATATAAGCACGGTCCTTTATTTTGTCAATGTACCTCCGCCCCGTGCTTTTAATGGAGACGTTCCTTTATTGGAGACTGTTCCATTATTATTTCAAACCTCATTTCAGAGGTTGCTGCACCGCGCGCGATTGCGCGACTGACCATGATAACATGTTGTTTGTTTGTTTGTATTCTTTATTTAGAGTGGGAAGTCCAAAACAGGCCCTAGCCTAATAACAATGGTCCCACTAGTGAGGGAATGCTGTATATCTGTGCATAAGGATCAGTGAGTGTAACAGCAACTACTAGGGAAAGAAAAAGAGAAAAGAACAACAACTCAAAAACAGGAGTTGCGACTTGCATAGGGAGAAAATAACGTATAGAGCAGTGCATACAGCATTTGCAAAAAGGCTTATTTATCTGGTAAGCAAAAAGGCAAGAGCCATTGACTTAAAGCGATTGCGTTTTCTTTCTTGCCTGACCGCAGCGGGGAGCTGGTTCCATAAGATGGTCCCAGCATAGGTAACACGTTTGGCAAGATATGCAGTTGGGCTGGCTGGGACAATCAGTAAATTGCTGTGCCCACCACGAGTTTGAGTGGAATTACTGCGGCTGAAAAGGTTAGCGAACAACATGCTGATGTTAGAGGATTCATGGAGACAACGCCAGATAAAAACCAGAAGGTGCATGTTGGCGTATGTGGTCAATGTTTGGATGTTCATGCGTGTAAGAATATGGCTTGTGGGTGTCCCGGGAGGTACCCGACAGACTGTGCGTACAGCACGCTTGAAGAGTCCATTAAGCCGTCTACTTTGATACGCCGTGAGAAATGGTAAGTAAGCAGAAGCGGCATGGCATACATAAAGTGTGATAAAATGAAAGAACGAAAATAGGCTATGCGACATTGAAAAGGCAGGAACGTAGCGTATCGTCTGAGCACGCCAACTTTCGACGCGACGCCCCGTGCAACGTGGTCGACCATGGTGTTCCAGCTCATGTCCGCATCAAAGTGGAGACCTAAATATTTCGCAGAGCGAACAGTTGGCAGAGGCAGTCCATTACATCGCACTTACAAGTCAAATGTTTGAGATTGTACTGGCGATATCGACATGATCTGTGTCTTCGTTTCATTCAAGATGAGGCCGCGGTTCCTAAACCAATCGGCGAGGTGCTGGACAGCACTTGAGAGATTTTGGGACACCTCATCCGTGCTCATGCTGCTGGATCTAATTGAGATATCGTCCGCAAACTGCAGGGTCGCAACGTTGTAAGGGGACAGCTCTTTCGCAATGTCACGGACGTAGAGAACAAACAACAGGGGCCCGAGAACTGACCCCTGTGGTACTCCGGAGAAGCTGGTGTATGATGAGCTCTGTACCTGACCGACTTTGACATACTGTGTCCGATCTGAGAGGTAGTCTGCAAGCCATTGCAGCACCGTTCCACCAATTCTGACCTCGAATAGGTCCTGAATAAGGGTTTGGTGCTTCACCTTATCAAATGCTTTTGACATATCTACGAAAGCAATCCCCGTGAAGTACTTTTTTGTCTGGGCTTGGCATATGCCCTCAACGGCTAATACAAGGGCATCACATGTGGAATGATGTGAACGATAGCCGAACTGAGTTGGTGGAAATAGATCATGTCGGCACAAGTACTGAGTGAGCTGATCATGGATGACTCGTTCCAAAAGCTTTGAAACTATCGACATTATCGACATCGACATTTGCAATGTGCGTACATATACTACCGTACGGTGTCTTTTATTGGAGGCCCGGGTGGTTTTCAGAGCACATCATAGTGAGCACTTCACAGTGTGCTTATAATGGAGACTGAGCACTTTATTCCCGTAGCTATGCAGAAGACGTTACTTCAGTAACGTCTGGCGCTAGCCAGGGTCCACACAGCTTTAATTTGGTGTTTGTTTGTTTGTTTGTTTGTGTCACGCCTGGCGCTATCCCGTATCTGTACCGTACTGTACCGTACCAGCAAAGACAGCTGGCTACTATATGTTTGTTTGTTTGTGCCATCGACATGCCTGGCGCTATCCCCTACCTGTCCCGTACCATCAAGAGTACGGTACCATCAAGAGAATGAGTATATATGCGAAGTGTATCGGGGGAATGCATTCAGTGCAGTAACATTTTGTGTGGATTTGTGTGCGAGGCCGAGAACCCACTAGCAGGCTGGCTGGTCCGCCTGTCGACCAGCCCGGGGATCGCATGTAGGCTGATAGCATAATAATTATAACGTATCAGATTGAGTAATTATAACGTATATACAGTCATGTAGATCTATAGCAGGGAGTCATATTATGTAAACGACTCCCAGCTGTATGGGGAGATTTTCTGAAAAAAAATACGAAGTAGGGAGACGAGTGAATGCAATCAGAAAATCTCCCCATACAGCAGGGAGTCATATTATGTAAACGACTCCCTGCTGTATGGGGAGATTTTCTGAAAAAAATACGAAGTAGGGAGACGAGTAAATGCAATCAGAATGGATGTTAGTTGCCGTCAGTATAATAATAAGAAGAAGAAGAACGCCCGTGATCGGCAGAGTCAGCGCCGGTCCCAAGAAACGTCAGGACAGACATCCCGTCGACTCCAGAACGCCCCTGATCGGCAGAGTCAGCGCCGGTCCCATAGCTATGCAGAAGGCGTTACTTGTACTTCAGTATCTCATTGAAACGTTTTTGCAATACAATGATGTAGCTAATCAAAGGAAAAAGCATTTCCATCAGTTCTAACAACATGCACGATGAGCTAGGCAACAAAGCATAGCGCAGGGCCCTGAGCTTCCAAGCTCTCTCGTTTTTTTGAATGCCGCCCCAAGGTGTTCTATTATTGGAGACGTGCTATTATTGGAGACTCTGCTTATATTAGAGATAATACGGTGGTCATTATATTCTGCACTGCGTGTAAAAATGTAGCAGTCCAGTTGTCTAGTTGGATGTGGAGTAGTAAAGGATCTACAATCATGATTCTACACACCAGAGTCTGCCAGCTAAGTGAGTGACTGACTGAGCCCAGGCAATGTCATGTAGGAAAATGACAATCATGGGCCTTCATACTACATGTACATGTAGCTCACTGCCACACTTGCATACGCGTATACATGTACGTCGTATACCAATTCCCTGTTGCACTTGCATGCATTTTGTATTTTGTATTCATTTTATTTACCGTATTTGCCCCAATAAATGTACAGTACTTTCATTTTTTCAAAGGTGGTCAGACCTGTACTACTGTAGGAGACTGTACTGCGTGTACTTTTATTGTTTCTGGAAAGTGGAAAGATTGATTGCCTGGGTTGGGTGGCAAACAACTCATGATAATGATGCTGTAAGGCTGTAAATACATCCAACCATGGTAAAAATCAGTGTACAAAGACACAAAGATGATGAACGGGTAAGAAAAACGAAGTAAGGTGGATCCTGGTACCTGTACACCAGTAATGCCCTTCACATCATTCCGGCATCAGTACCATTATTTATATTAGAGACGTGTCCTTTACTATTTTTGATCCACACTCAACATGTACTAAAATTGGAGACATCGTGACTATTATTGGAGACGTGTGCGTTTAATGGGGAAATACGGTTAGGGGTAAGCGGATTATGCCGGCATAATTTTTGGCATAATCAGGTCCTTTTTGAGAAGGAGCATAAAACGGCATCCAAAACACAAGGGCAGCTGCTCAATGAGACTGTTATTCACACCTGCTATTGAAGGACCATACATAGCACTTCTCGTCGATTTGGAATATTATTTTAGCAGCCACTATAGGACATTTCCCAAAGTTCAGCATGTTCTTGTGAATTCGGTATTCCTCTTACATGTTTTTGTCTTGTACTTCCACAAAGCTCCCAGTCCACATCATTGCAATGATCTGAGTCCCTTTTTCATGACGATTATCTCTTCTTTTGGTCATTTGGGTGAAGCATATACATGTACATGTAAAAGCATAATTGGCTGTTTTCTCGAGCATCCTGCGAGCATCAGCTAAAGCATAATCTGGTCATTTTCCGGGCATAATCCGCGTACTCCTAAATACGGTACATGTACATCGATTATCATACCAAATGGGCAGGGCTGCCCAATATTATGATCCGATGGCTGCAAATAGTGAAAAGCAGAGAACATTGAAGGAGACAAG